GTGCGCGATAACTTGCGGGAGCACCCCCATTGCCTGACAATATACCATACTTATAGGGTCGTTGGCGAGGACCACTTTCGCGTCCACAGTGTTCAACATCAGTCACCGTGATCAATGGCATATTTAGCATGCGGTCTCACTGACAATACCGGTTGGCAACGATATATTCGAAAAATCCGGGACTTGCGAGCCTAACCCATACTCAATAAGCATTTGTCCCCCAAAAACATAGGGTTTGGTGACCTCGAACAGCGAATGGTTCGGATCACCTTACTGAACCTTCGAGATCTGCCTACACCGAAGTGGCATCGAATGAAGTACATCACAGACATCCAATCGAAATCAATCTATTTACGAGTACCCATGATTGCAAATAAAACAACTCAGAATCAGGAAGGATTCAACAAGCCAAACTGTTTCTCAAAAGGCATACAAAAGACACGAAGCACAGGATATTCTCACACAAAAGCTCTGCACAATACGAACGCGCAGCCTGACAGCATGCGACTCATTTGCTTATCGACAGATGGCGATCCACCAGCCTGCACGCTCGACGCAGCAGAACCCCCACATGTCATCGCTCACAACACAGGTCGCATGCCCATTTCACCCGCCCAATCGCTCGATAAAACGACTTCGAAACCGCGTGCCCACCTTCCCACATCCGGCGCATACACTTACGCATCAACATCCCCGCTGGTAACATATGCGTGTCCCGACGCAAGCTGCACTGTCAGCACGTGGGCAACACGGCGCGCCGCGAATCACCGCGCCCTAAGGCGGCTTCGCGGCCGGCTGCCCGCGGGCCCCCACCCGCCTGGGTCCCGCTCTGCCTGACGCCCACGCATCTCCCTCCCACCCACGGTCTCCGGCCCCCGGTCTCCGATCTCCGATCCCCGGTCTCCGATCCCCGGTCTCCGGTTTCCGGTCCCCGGCCTCCGGTCTCCGATCTCCGATCCCCGGTCTCCGATCTCCGATCCCCGGTCTCCGGTCTCCGGTCTCCGATCCCCGGTCTCCGGTCTCCGATCCCCGGTCTCCGGTTTCCGGTCCCCGATCTCCGGTCTCCGATCTCCGATCCCCGGTCTCCGGTCTCCGGTATCTGCCACCTTGACATGACGGGGCGTTGGTTGGCGCAGCGGTCCACGCCGGCGGCAGCAGCGGCAGCGGCAGCAGCAGCAGCAGCAGCGGAGCCGGCAGCGACAGCTGCGGATACACGCCCGGCCCCGCCACTGGAACTTCGGGCCGCCCGGGCCGCGCTACCAGAACGAGCACCTGCGGCGAAAGCGGACACGCTCAAACGGAGGCCACACTGACACGGCCGTCTGCAGAGCCGGCGTGACCAGGTCAGGCCAGGTCAGATCATGACCCGGCCCGGGGCACTGGCGGTCATCCGGCGTCCGATGCAACACTGGCAGCAGTCGGTCACCAGGCCGGGCATCACTGGCAATGGCTACATTCGACACGTGACAGGCGAAGCTCGCTCATGACGACTCAGCACTGGCAGTGGTTACTCACTGATGCGAAGTACTGACGGAGGTCATCTCCAGACGATCAATCACTGACCGAGGCAGCCCACCATCCGACGCAGAAAGGACGAAGCCCACGCCCTGGCAACAGCGCAAATCCCACGCCCCAGCCGTGCGTCCTTGGCACAGGTCACGCAACATAACCAGCAGCAGTGTCGGCCCGCACTCACCATCCGATGTAGCACTGGCAGAGGTTCTCGTGCGAAGCGGCCAGCTGGATCAGCCGGTCCACCTGGTCCCGCACCGAGAGCGGCACGTCGTTGCCGAAGTCGGTGCCGGTCAGCTTGTCGCGGACGCGCTGGATGATCTGCACGGCCTTCTTGTTCTGGTGCCTCCGGCACCACGGCGTCGCCGTCGCCTGCAGCGGTCGGCGGGTGCCGGGTCAGGCCACCGATTGGGTCAGCTTGGGTTGCCGATCAGGTCAGCTTAGGTCAACGCTCAGGTTAGCTTAGGTCGCCGCTCAGGGTCAACTAAGGTCACCGCTCAGGTCAACTTAGGTCACCACTCAGGTCAGCTTAGGTCGCCCGCTCAGGTCAGCTTAGGTCGCCACTCAGGTCAGCTTAGATCGCCACTCAGGTCAGCGGTCAGCTTAGGTCGCCACTCAGGTCAGCTTAGGTCGCCGCTCAGGTCAACGCAGGTCACAAACTCAGGTCAGCTTAGGTCACCACTCGGGTTAGCTCAGGCCATCACGGCTAGCGGCTCCAGCACGGGCGGAGTGCAAGGGCTGGCGTTTGAAGCCGCAGAAACAAACCAACCACGCTCAAGACAGGTGAGATCCTTTCGGTCCGCTTCAGACCAGCTATCCGACGCGACCCACAAGACCACGACCCTAGCCTTCACATTTTGACACTTCAAAGTCGACACGGCTGTCAAAAGCCGCTCCCCGGCCGTCTGGCTGCCGCTCCCCAGCCACCCCGGAGGCGGCGAGCGGCGCGGCGGGGCCGGGCCGCAGTCCGCCGTACCGATGCGCTGCTGACCCTCGATGCTGCTGTTGTGGCGGCTGCGCATGGGCGGACTGCTGGCCAGGCCGGGCTCCAGCTCCGCACTGCCCTCCGCCGTCGGACCGCCGGCCGGCAGCGGGCGGCGCACCTGCTGCGGACACGGACAAGAACCGGGTCAGGAGCGGTCATGGATCGGGGCCGGGTCAGGGGCGGTCACGGACCGGGGCCGGGTCAGGGTCGGTCACGGACCGGGCCCGGTCAGGGGGTGGGCATGGATCGGGGGCCGGGGTCAGGGGCGGTCACGGACCGGACCCGGTCAGGGGACGGTCGAGGATCGGGGCCGGGTCAGGGGGTGGGCATGGATCGGGGCCGGGTCAGGGGCGGTCAGGGGCGGTCAGGGGCGGCCACGGACCGGGCCCGGTCAGCGGGCGGTCACAGACCGGGGCCGGGTCAGGGTCGGTCACGGACCGGGCCCGGTCAGGGGACGGTCACGGATCGGGGCCGGGTCTGCCACAGACTGCCAAAGTACATGGCATATGGTCAATGAGACACAAGGAAAGACGACGCCACACCACACCACCATTCTGCCATCAACTGGCATGACCCATGACACCCAATACATAAACTGAGAAGGCCCATAGCCTCACACAACAGCGCCACCTTCCCCTGCCTCTCCAGACCGCCCCCTAACACAGACGAGCCACGGCGGGACGGGGTGCGTCTCACACACAACAGAGCAGGGCAGGCGTCCCTGAGCGCGGCATCGTGCGTGGCCAAGGCCGGGGCGGCAGCAGGGAGCCACAGGCGGCAGGAGGCGGCCCCGGGCGGTGGGGAGGGGGGGGGGGGCGTCAGTCCCAGGCAGTGGCAGGGAGCCGCGGGCGGCAGAGAGCACCCAGGGAGGCGGCAGGCAGCCCCAGGCGGCGACAGGCAGCCCCAGGCGGCGACAGGCAGCCCCAGGGCGGCGGCAGGCGCCACGCTCACCGTCCGGGGGCTGTCCACCAGACGCCAGTTCAGCAGCGGGTCATACACGAACGCCTCCAGCACCGCCATCAGGCTGTCCTTGTTCTTCCGCAGCACCGTCATCACCGACTCGCAGGTCATCCGGTAGGTGCCCTCGATGCCGGTCACCTGAGGGCCAGGGAGGGTCATCACCGACTCGCAGGTCATCCGGCAGGTGCCCTCAATACCGGTCACCTGAGGGTCAGGGCGGGCTATCACCGACTCGCAGGTCATCCGGTACATGACCTTATGCTCTGGTCACCAACAGGTTGACACGGTTATATCGTGGTCGCTCTCTATGCAGGCCATCTGGACGTCATCGTAGCGCTAACGTATCGTATCGTATCGAAGCTCAGCGCTAGTGAATCTGCCATAACCAGCTACCGTCAGCCTCCCGAGCCATACGCACCACATTCCATTCCATTCCATTCCACTCCGATCGGCACGCCGAGAGCTCAGCCATCACATACCGATCGCATGTCCAAGTCAGGTCTGAATCTGCCGCGATGAAATGTTCGCAGAGCACGACCCCGAAATGGGGGCATGGGGTACATAGTGCGAGGGGTGCGTCCGGACCATCTTACCTCTACGGCAGGGCCACCGAGGGGGTGCGTCCGGACCATCTTACCTCTAAGGCACGGCCACCGAGGGGGTGCGTCCGGACCATCTTACCTCTAAGGCACGGCCACCGAGGGGGTGCGTCCGGACCATCTTACCTCTAAGGCAGGGCCACCCCCTGTCCCGTGCTGCGGGGTACAGGGAGCAGCGATGACGGTCGGGCCAGCTCACCTCCATGGCGTTCACCAACATCCTGGTCAGACGGAACGGAATCTTCTCGGGGAACTTCTCGCGGGTCATGGCCACCTCGAAACAGTCGCCGAAGTCGATGTGCAGGATCTTGCCACTCATCCGGTCCAGCATCAGGTTGGACGGATGCCTGTAGAGAGGCGAGCTCAGAATAACCCAGCACTTCGGGTCAGGTCAGCATGGCATCTCGTCAGCTTAGTTCAAAAGATTATTCACGGTGATTTAACCTGGAGTTTCTCGACCACGGCTGCGCGGCGCTGTTCGCACGGCTTGGACCGCGCGCCGAGCGTTCATCTGACGTCCACAGACACAGCGAGACTAGACCTGAACAGTCCGGCAATCATCGTCTCATCGCATTCGCACGCCTCTCTCCTAAGCCGGTCTAAAACTCATCTTAACATCTGAGAACAACTATTCAGTTGTTTCACTTGTCGTCAGTTACCCTTCCACTTCGGCTTGCAAAACCACCCTCTGCTCTTATACCAGTGACAAATCACCACTCCTTTAATCCCCCTCCGCTCTCCCAGCAGCGCCGCCTTTCCGTTCCTCAACCACCCGCCGCCGCCCCCTTCCTCGTCCTCCCCCCCCCCGCGTCCTCACCGGTCGCCCAGACCGAGCACGTAGCCGACCATGCTCATGACGGCCAGCGAGCGGGTGAAGTTGGCGCGCCGGTCGAACCAGTCCTCGGAGGAGGGCGACTTCAGCCACAGCAGGCGCGCCAGGTCGTCGCCCTTAGTCGTCTCGAGCGCGTGCTCGAACACCTCCACCTTCTGCATCAGCGTCAGGTGCTCATACTCGGGCGCCATCTGTAGGCGGGAGGGGCGCCGTCAACGAGGCGGAGCTGGGCACGCCCCCATCTCGGCTCGGCAACAACGACGGGTGTGGATGGAGAGGAGCCCAGTCAGTAGCTTGAGACCACAAAATAACGCGCTACGTGTGCAATTAAGTATGCTGGTCACCAAAGCGAGCCCCGGACTTAACCAGGCCGCGTCACGCGTTGATGTGGACCGACCTCAGCGGCCGTTACCTCCCCAGGAGCGCCTCCGCGCGCGCCGCCGCCGCTCCGTGAACGTCAGCAGCCCGGGCCGGCCGGCCGGCACTCACCCGCAGCATGATCTTGTGCTCGATGTTGAGCATGATCTTCTTCTTGTCGCGGTGGTCGCGGATGAGCGTGTGGAGCGTATCCGAGTGCGGCACCCAGCCGATCAGGCCGCTGTTGGTGCTCAGAGGCACCACAGCGAACCGCTGCCAGGGGAGGCGGCGGGCCGTCAGCTCGGACGGCGGGCCAGGGGACGGTCTCTGTCGCGGCCAGACGGTCGGAGCGCCGAGGCCCACAGAGACGACGACAGGCGGAGGCAGGCAGCCAGCGACCACCAGACAGTAACAGCTATAACGTCAGAACGGGTCGGCCACAGGAACAGCGGCACCGATAAAAACACAACACCTCCGTTCATGTATACCGATTTTGTATAGCATGACATGACACGGGGCACGAACCGGGTCTCAAAAGCCTGCCGGCGCCGCCTCACGTTCCCAGCGAGCGCGGAAGACACACGGCAGCATCAGCCGGCCCACCTGTATGGCCAAGTTGCGTCGCATGGTCTCCGGGTTGGTCTTCAGCAGCGTGTTCACCAGTCCGAACAGCTGCATGACGCGCTCGTCCTGACGCAGGTCCTCGTGGCCCTTCACCAGGAACGTGTAGTCGCGGCCGTCGCTGCCTGCGCGCGGCCGGAGCGGGCCGAGTCAGAGCCCGAGAGGCGCGGTGTCGGCGCAGCACGAGCCACGCCGCCGCGGCCTGAGCAGGCCGAGACAGAGGCCGAGAGGCGCGGTGTCGGCGCCGCACGAACCACGCCGGCCGCGGTCAGAGCGGGCCGAGACAGAGGCCGAGAGGCACGGTGTCAGCGCAGCACGAGCCACGCCGCCGCGGTCAGAGCGGGCCGAGACAGAGGCCGAGAGGTGCGGTGTCAGCGCAGCACGAGCCACGCCAGCCGCGGTCAGAGCGGGCCGAGACAGAGGCCGAGAGGCACGGTGTCAGCGCAGCACGAGCCACGCCAGCCGCGGTCAGAGCGGGCCGAGACAGAGGCCGAGAGGCACGGTGTCGGCGCAGCACGAGCCACGCCAGCCGCGGTCAGAGCGGGCCGAGACAGAGGCCGAGAGGTGCGGTGTCAGCGCAGCACGAGCCACGCCGGCCGCGGTCAGAGCGGGCCGAGTCAGAGGCCGAGAGGCACGGTGTCAGCGCAGCACGAGCCACGCCGGCCGCGGCACACCTGGCACGGAGACGGCCAGAGCGGCCGCGACCAGCCACACCAAGCGCGCCGCGCACGAGACGCACAGCACCCCTGGCTGACACACTGTACTGGGGGCACACTGCAACACAAGGACAGGTACACTGCACTGCGGACTAAACAGCGTCAGGCTTGTTGTCAGGTAGTTAACGTCTGTCCACGCCCCAGATGGATGGTCACATGCTGTAGAAGGGAGCATTGCCCTGACTACAGCATGTTCTTTATAAATCAATTACCATTTATACGCGGCGAATGTCTCCAAACCCGTCTGTCAAACACTCAAACGCAACTTAGAGCAGATCTGGACAAAAGCGGAGCTTTCGGCACTGGGAGTAACCTATATACACGGTGGGACACCATTCAGGTCCAACACATGCACAGAACCAAAACACAAACCACTTGATTTCAAAGCAGCCTGGACCACGCGCGACCAATGCCGGCCAACCCGCCGCTAACGGGAATGTTTCACATTTGAAGCTATTGAGGCAGGCGTCAAATATGACGAAATAAGCCCAATTATAGCTATTGGTACACTTTTATGTGAAAAAGGCTGCTCTACACAACACAATGCCTGTTTAGCAAATACGCTCCTTAACATGTCGTTGTTTGATCACGTCATCATACCTTGCTTGTTGAGAGGTTTAGATGTTAAGAAGGGCAGGGCTGTAAACTGCACCGAAAAATCTTCGAGAGGGATATTCCAGTTCCAACCACCATACAAATGAGGACCACTCCCTTTAACCGGCCATCACCGCAGAGCTGGTCCCGAGTGCCGGGCTCAGTACAACACCGGCACCGCAAGCGAGCGCCGGCCGCCGCCCGAGCCCGCAGGGACCCGCACGCCAGCCGGCCGACCGACCTCACCTCTCATGGTGACCTTGCGGGGCCGCTGCTTGGTGCTGAACACGGTCAGGCTGGACTTGACCTTGGCGATGCGGATGATAGGCCGGTGGGGCACGTAGCTGCCGGGGATGGCCAGTTCCAGGTCCCGGGCGTTCATCAGCGCCGGCGACACGTACTGACGTCAGAGCGCGCGCGTCAGACGGTGACGGGACAGGAGCCGAGCGCCGGCTGGGCGGGGGAGGGGCACACCGGAAAAGGCGGCTCGTTTGAAAAGAACGCGCGACGAGTGCCGTCGCGAAGCCAAGTTACGAAACGCCGGCGACTAGGGCGGTCACGCCCGTCGGCCGTACCTGGGCCCTCCTGATGTCAACTCGAGTCGTTACCACTTGAGCTATTGCAAGACACGCACTGTACACGCACGCCCGAGCATCAGGCGTGTCTCATCAGACTCAAAGCGTATCAGATCATCACCAGCTCCGGCATGTCCCGAGCCCTAGACCGCATTCAGCGACGCAGAACGCACGCACACGCACCGAGGTCACACACACACGCACGCTAAAACCCGGGGACGCACGCACACACATGCGCGCACGCACGCACGCACGCACCCACACCCACACACATAGCCGCGCGATCCTGCCGACAGCGGCGGATGGCGGGTGGCGGGTGGTGGGTGGCTGGTGGCGGCGCCGGCCACTAACCGGCAGCTCCAGGTTGGTGATGAGTGGTAACTGGCGGGAGATGCGTCGGAACACCTGGTAGTAGCGGTTCCAGGCCAGGTTCAGCTCGCGCTCGTTGCCCGTGCGCTTGTAGCGCCGACACAGATCGTACGCGTCCTGCAGGTCCTGGCCGTACGCCTGGAGTGGGGCACCAGAGGCCAGGGGCCAGTCAGTCACCGGGAGAGGGTCACCTCAGGTCAGCTATCGGAGCGAGTCACCAAGGGTCTGTCATCCCCAGGGGGTCCAACCAGGGTCAACCCAGGGTCAGTCAGTCACCCCGAGCGGGTCGTTCGAGGTCAGCCAATCGCCAGGAAAGGGTTACCAGAGGTCATTCAGTCACCAGTCACCAGGCCAGACGACGAAGCAAGTCATCAAAGGTAAGTCAGTCCACGCGGGCCATCAGGCGTCAGTCATCTAGAGCGGGTCACCAGAGGGCGTTCCCCAGCCCAGGTCACCAGAGGTCACCCACTCGGATCAGGTCACCGGACGTCAGTCAACCAGAGCGGGTCAACAGAGCTCAGACACCCACAGCACAACTGCTGTCGACCCAGCTCAGACGCATTCACACAACAGGAGTATTGCATGATCTGTCCGTCCCCCCCCCCCCCCCCCCCCCCCACCGCCTCGCCTCTCTTTCGTTTCATCTGTCCACTCAGCTGCTCCGCACATATACAGGCCCTTGAAGGAACGTGACAACATTTATCATTTGCGTGTTCTACGGCCTAGCGAAATCGCTCGCTCCTTTCTCCCGTCTGTCCCGGTTGCTCCCTCTCCCCCTGTCCCGGCTCTGTCCCTCTGTCGCGGCTGTCAGCCTCTCTCCCTGTCCCGGCTGCCAGCCTCTCCCCCTGTCCCGGCTGCCAGCCTCTCCCCCTGTCCCGGCTGCCAGCCTCTCCCCCTGTCCCGGCTGCCAACCTCTCCCCTGTCCCGGCTGCCAGCCTCTCCCCCTGTCCCGGCTGCCAGCCTCTCCCCCTGTCCCGGCTGCCAGCCTCTCCCCTGTCCCGGCTGCCGGCCTCTCCCCCTATCCCGGCTGCCGGCCTCTCCCCCTATCCCGGCTGCCAGCCTCTCCCCCTGTCCCGGCTGCCGGCCTCTCCCCCTATCCCGGCTGCCAGCCTCTCCCTCTGTCCCGGCTGCCAGCCTCTCCCCCTATCCCGGCTGCCGGCCTCTCCCCCTATCCCGGCTGCCAGCCTCTCCCCCTGTCCCGGCTGCCGGCCTCTCCCCCTATCCCGGCTGCCAGCCTCTCCCTCTGTCCCGGCTGCCAGCCTCTTCCCCTATCCCGGCTGCCGGCCTCTCCCCCTATCCCGGCTGCCGGCCTCTCCCCCTATCCCGGCTGCCAGCCTCTCCCTCTGTCCCGGCTGCCAGCCTCTTCCCCTATCCCGGCTGCCAGCCTCTCCCCCTGCCCCTGCTGCCAGCCTCTCCCTCTGTTCCGGCTGCCAGCCTCTCCCCCTGTCCCTGCTGCCAGCCTCCCCCTCTGTCCCGGCTGCCAGCTTCTCCCCCTATCCCGACCGTATCCAGTCGCGCCAGCATGGCAGCCGCTCCGACTGACCTGCGTGAAGCTCTTCTCCTTGAGCGTCTCCGGTCCGCGGTCCATCATGGCGTGCAGCGGCTCCAGCACGGCGAACATGGCCGGGATGTTGCGCTCGCTGAAGAAGAGGCGCGACGCCTCCTCCAGGCCCTCGTGCCACCGGTTGTCCCAGAGGATGGCCACGCGGATCAGCTCGTCGGACACCTGGCGGCCGGGCCGGGCGCGGAGGGGCGTCAGCGGCCAGCCCACGCTGGTGGGTGCGGCGGAACCCGCGGACGGCACCGCTCCAGATGGCGCTCCGATCGTACACAACACGCTTCTCTGACGGGGGCGGGCGGTCAGCTGACTGGAGAGGGTGTGGATACGTGCGTGCGTGATTGTGTGTATAATTGCATCAATACATGCACTAATGTATGCAAGCAGATCTGCACATACGCGTGCGCGCGTACGTGCGTGTGTATGTGTGTATGACGGAGCACGTGTCCGGACTTGCTGCTCACAGAGCGCAGCATCAATCCGACTCCGGAGTCGGACAAACTCACCAGGAACTCCTGCTGGACGAGCGTCTCCGAGTGTTCGCGCATGTTCTTGAGGATCTTCTGGGCCGCCTTCTCGCGAGCCGGCACCGACGACTTCTTGGCCACCGTCAGGGGGTACACCAGAGCCTGACATGGCGTAACACGACACTCAGACGACAGGCGAGCAAACAGGAGCTGACGACAAGCGGCTCTCATGTCTTCCGACAGTGGCGGCTGTTATATGGCTCTTGCCACTCCCATCTTACCGAACATGTCTATATTCGAGCACGCGCGACGTTATCAGTTGGACTGGCACGCAAAACACCACACCATTCCAAGACCAAAGACTACGCTCGCTTCAACGACCAGTAAAAGCTACAGCGGCAGAGAACAGCGGCCAACGAAACCCACTGGCAGCACTTCCAGCCTGCCTTTGATGCGGCCGCTGCGCAGTCCCGCCGGCCTGCTCAGCGGATCAGCCGGGGCCTCATCCAGCCGGGCTTCGGCCGGCCGGGGGTCGGTGGTTCTGACCTGACCTATGGTCATGGGTCACGGGCCGGGGGCGGCTCCACTGACCTGGGGGTGTGTCTTGCCGACCTCGGTGAGCAGGGACGAGATGAGGCGGGCGATCAGGGGCCGGGGTGTGTCGATGCGGGCGATCAGCTGAGGAATGACCTGCCGATACACCACACACGTCACACGACCGGCAGGTGACGTCACACCACGGCCCCACAGTCCGATCACGCTCACACAGTCGGCCGATACTCTGTCGGATATAGACAGGGCCAATAATCGCTCGAACAGGTAAGGTCATATGACATGTGTCGCCACATACACGGGTGACATCACACATGTACAGGTAACGTCACACAGCAAATAAGTGACGTCACACAGCAAATATGTGGCACTTCTGCACGCAGACAGTCGCTTAGCAGACAAAAACACCTTCTCCTTAACACGTCTACTCCGGTTCAGTACAGTCCACAGTCCCACGCAGCGGCCATATTGCAAAGCGCCCAGCCAGGCCGTGCCTGGCTGAGCGCTTTGCACGGCCTACACGGCTTTACGGTCGTGTGGGCCCCGTGCCTGCACGGCCGCCGCACACTTCGACCGGCGGCGGCCGTCTCACCTGCAGCCAGTTGTCGATCTTGATCTTGCGCAGGCCGTCGGTGAGGGCGTCGTTGACCTCGGCCACCTGGCCGTACTCGAACCAGAGCGTGAGCAGGCGCAGCGTGTCCTGCAGACTGTTGTCCGTGTTGAGCGAGATGGAGCGCACGAAGCCCTGCACGGCCGGCACGACGAACGGCAGGTGGCGGCCCGCCCGCTGCCAGCGCCGGGAGGGGCGCGCGTGTCAGTCCCGATGTCGACCGCCGCTCGGCACCACGGCGCACCCGACACTGGACACGTCAGCAACTTAGCACGCATAGCCCGGCGCGTGAAGCGCATTCGGCGCCGTCCGCAGCTTCGACGCGGCCACCGCCGGTCGACGGCGCGGCGAGGGGTGGGGGGGGGGGACGAGGGGGAGGGGGCGAGAGGTCCGCCCACAAATGGAGACGGGAAGGGAAGCGGACGCGGACTCACGTCTGAGACGGCCTCGCCGGCGCCGGCGGCGGGCGAGGCGCCGGCCGACCGGCCCTTGAAGAATAGCACCGCCTGGAAGTTCATGAAGGCCCACGCGTGCCAGGCGCGGTACCAGGACGGGTCGTACTTGGTCGAGTACTGGTAGTACCTGCGGCGAGACGGCCCCCCGTTAGCGGGCGGCGCAGAGACGGGGGGGGGGAGGGGCAGTAGAGGGGGTGAGGTGCGCCTGTCGGGATGCCTGTCACTAGCGAGTGCTGGAGAGACACCCAGGCTAGCACAGGGCTGAGAGGCTGTGTGAGGATCATTTTGCTCTGCGAAGACAAAACGACCATGTCCCACTGTGTACCAGCGTGACCCGCGTGGTGCCGCCTCTGCGGGCCCGCATCAGGAGCAAACAAATGTCGCTAGCCTAGTCAACTGGCGAGTGATTGTAGCTTAAGTCTGCTTTTTCCTTAACAAAATCAGCCGACTCGAGACAACAGAAATCCGCCAAGGGCGGTGGCGACCATGAGGTAAACATGAAGCTGGAGGGCTGCTAAACATCGAAATCTTAGGAATATCTTATCCCCGCAATTTCGAGGGTAGCTGAGCACCGCAATTTTGGGAGCAGCTAACACCGCGTGACGCTACATTAGAAAGCGAACAATGACACTAGAAGTCAATTTGAAAAGTAACTGGAAACATCACAGTAAACATAAACACACGGACATTAAACAATGCAAGAGACGATTATCAAAAATCACCCATCTCCCATTTCTGGAGCAACCCTGCCCAAATGAGTGACACTACGTAACTAACATAAACAAAGTAGGATTCCCTGCAGTGTCAATTTGCGGAAGCCAAAGTTGCTGTGTAAGTTTACCCCCCCCCCCCCCCCCCTAGTAAAACGCATCATCCGAAAACAGGCAAAGCATGACAAAGGGGTCTTTGTACTTACCTTGTATTTAAATAAAAGCAATTTAAAATTCCGTGACAATGTGTGCTATTCTTGTTTTACTTTGAGATGCATTAAAGACGTATGCAACAGCAGGATCAGCCGTGTGTGTCTCTCGGACGAGCCCCATGTACCCAACGTTTCCGTGCCTCTAAGGCCATGCTTGGAGCCGCGTTCATGCGGTACACGTCACGTGCGGTACTGTGATGGGTGGAGCAGCTGAACCTCCGTCGTAGCCGGACACACGTGACGGCCGCTGAGCGCTGCCCCGAAAGGTATCCTAGGTGCGCCGTCAGCCCACGTGAAAGCCGTCCAAACAGTGCCACGCGGGCGACGACGAAAAACAACAACAACTAAGAACTGCGTCCATGTTGTAAGCCGTTGCTTCGTCACCTCTAACTCTTACAATAACTCATCGAGAACCACAGTAATTATACACGTAGATTGCCAGCCAACCGCTATCCATCGATTATTGTCTCCTCGCATACGATCATGGAAACTTCTCGCATTCGATGTATACTTTTACGGCTAAAAAATACAGATACTGAAACGCAAGTAAAACAAAACTGTTATCAATTCCTCGCTACAATGTCTGTGGGTAAGCAGCCATGGTCCCTAAATCTGAGCAGCATCTATGATACAAGGCCATTAACAATCTGCTTAACTTCACAATTAAGCACAAGATTGCATGTCTCCCAGCAACAGGGCTGGGGTTAACAATTTCGTGGTGCTAACTATTTCAGTAAATACATTTTTCCACGCCAGGATTGGCCGGAGATATCCCTGAATACCGCACCAACTGGGTGCCGTAAAAGGCTACGGTGGGGAAGTTGTCCGAAAAGACAAAAAGTTATTGCAGCAGCTTATCGCATTGTACGCTTGCACGCTCTCTGCCATTTTCACCTTTACGTGCTTGCATACACTACCAACCTAGGCAGTCCAGCCCCTCGTATAGGCATTCACATTAAATATCAATGCTGCCAAACGATCGGTCGGTGGTTTGACCGACGAACTGACGTGTGAAGGCGAAGCTTAACGGAAAATGTTTGGGTGTCAGCCTTAACCACGCCACCGTTCAGCTGCCTAATCCTCGCCGTTCCGTACACAACAGAGAACACCAGCAGAAAACAGCACCGTGCTGCTCTTGTCGCCGTTTCCCGTTGCCACCAGGACCACGTGGCCGTTAGTGGGTACCTCACACCCTCCTCCGCACGGGGACGTCCCCAGCCTCTCGCGTGACGCCAGCGCAGGCCGCGCCCGGCGGCTGATCGCGACCGCCGCCGTATCAAGTATCACTCCACCGCCGCCGTTCCAAGGCGGAGGCGGTGGAGCGTGCACACCGCCCTCCGGCCGCTCACCCTCCCCGAGCGGAGCGCGAGCGCGAGCACGTGGTGCTGCGACCGGCCGCCGCACCAACCCCGACAGGGCAGCGCCGCCGCTTGCGCCACGGCCGGCCCCAGCGCGTGGCCCACGTGCCGCTGATGGCCGCCGGCCACGGTATATAGACGGCCAACGCTCGGCAGCCGACACTGCGCACCGTGACGCTCTTGCCGGTACACACACGTCATGAAGCTGGGCGGCTGGCTGGCGGTGGCGGCGCTCCTGTGTGCGGCGCTGATGGAGCCCGGCGGCACAGGTAAGCACGCTGACAAACACCCCCGGGGCGACGGCGCTGCGGAGCCGGCGCCACCTCTGTGTGCTGCCGAGAGACGCTGAAGCCACGACCGTTTCATTGTCGGGCACGCGCCCCGGGCGGGCGGCAAAGTCGCACGTCACCAGGTGATATGGCCGAGCTTGGCATCTTGTGCTGAGCGTCGTCGGGTTCCATCCACACCGCAGTCTTTTTCAAGGCATCTGTCCATTCCCCACGACGTGAAACTCAGCGGCACGCCCTATTTAGAGGGACGAGGGGCACATGCCGTGTGCTAGCTGGCCACGTGTGCTGCTCAACACCGCATGACAGACGCCCACGGCTGTGCTTCAGATGGAGCCGCGTTCGGCGGGAGACGCCACGCGACCGCCGGCAGATACCCGGCGTCGCCGCCAGGCGGCAGCATCGGTGCCGCCTGCAACAAGGCGCATCCATGCTACCGCTGCGACTTCTACTTCGACACGTACGTCTGTCTATGCGTGTGCCACTAGACCGGCAGACGGTGGGTGTCAGCGGCCAGAGGTCATCATCAGACACGCCGGCCCACACCTCTGCCGGACGTCTCGCGCGAACTTCCGACGGATCGCGCGTACACACACAGGACACGTCTCGGGCGAACGTGGCGCCAAGTGCCGGCTTGGCGCCAGACATCCAGCTGACGGCCCCGTGCTGTCTCGTCCGGCCTCCAGCTCCGGCAGCGGCGGTGACGGCGCCCTTCGCCGCGTGGACCCCGCCCCCGCCGTCGCCGGTGCGTCTCATAGATAGAACCTTCCTTCCCCAGTCCACATCCCCCTCCGCCAGCTCTGGCGATGAGCAGTGGCCGATCTCTTAGCCATCTGGCCCTCGTCGACGGGTAGTGCCATTGAGCCTGAACGTTGTTTCACTGCCGCTCCACGACTTGACGGCCGGCGGTGATTGGTGTTTGGTGTTTGAACGTGCGCCTACCCGTGCCGTCACTTGATGCCCGTGCACGCCGCGGATCGGCGCATTTGTGACCTGTCGACCTCTGTTTTGTGAGACGTTCAAAACTGGATGAATAAAATCAGCTCACGACTCGACAATGTGAATACAATATGATAATTCCGATTTTTTTTGGAAATCGTCGCTGGCATGTGCCCTGATTGATACCCAGCATCAACAGCTGAAGACTGAACAAGGAGGCAAAAGCTTCGCAGCCGCAGCCGAAGCCTCGCTCCCTGCCAGCCCATGAGCGCCAGCAGGGTTGTCAGCAGCACACAGACACCCAGCACGGCCTCGGCGCCGCGCCCGAGCCCGGGTCGACCCACTCACTGCAGCACCGGCGGGATGGTGGTCTCGGAGAGCGGCTCAAACTCCTCCTTCCAGGCGCCAAGCTTGAGGAAGCAGCGCGAGAGCAGAATGGCGGGCGACTCGCCGCGCGGCTCGTCCGAGCTCAGCTGCGGCACCTGGCTGGAGGCCAGCGACGCCGACCGGCCGTACATGTTGGCCGAGGCAGAGACGAAACTCTCCAGCCGCCTGGTGACGGAGGACAGGCGTCAGCAGACACACACGGGACGAAACTCTCCAGCCGTCTGGTGACGGAGGACAGGCGTCAGCAGACACACACGGGACGAAACTCTCCAGCCGCCTGGTGACGGAGGACAGGCGTCAGCAGACACAGGCGGGACGAAACCCTCCAGCCGTCTGGTGACGGAGGACAGGCGTCAGCAGAGATACACGGGACGAAACCCTCCAGCCGCCTGGTGACGGAGAATAGGGGCCAGAAGACACACTACGGACACGGACCTAAACTGGCCACTGTGGTCACACACAACGCTGTGGTCACTGCTCCCCACTCGTCCCTGCGCCCCGCCCCCGCCCGTCGCACTCACTTGAGCGCATCCAGCTTGTCGCCGGCGGCCCACTGGTACTTGATGTAGGCGTAGCGCACGTGCGGGTTCTCACTCTGGGACGGCCCGGACGCGCCGGACATGAGCTCGGCCAGGATCTGGCGCGACTGGTTCTGCGGGCGCCACGACACACGGCGTCACGAGCATGCGCGGGCGGTCACGCGGCGTCACGAGTACGCGTGGCCGGTCACACGGCGTCACGAGCACGCGTGGCCGGTCACACGGCGTCACAAGCACGCGTGGCCGGTCACACGGCGTCACAAACCTGCGCAGCCCGTCACACGGTGTCAGAAGCCTGCACGGTCCGTCACAGGGGCTTATATATTCGACCGGCGTGTCGTGCCACACGGGCTTGTGAGCACCGCACGTGTCGCACAGCGTCGCAATCACTCTAAGACCCGTCCCCCCGTTTTGTACGTCAGACGGGACCTGTCCCGTGGCATCTCTCACACTCACACTGGACGAGGTCGGCCACACGGTTCACCAGCTTAACAGGCCCTGTCGCCGGGCGTCGCGGCAGCGACCCGGCGCGCGGCGTCGCCGCTCGTAGCGCCGCTCCACTCACCAGGCGACCGCTCTTGCGACAGAGGGCGGCGAACTTGAGCCGCGTGCGCATGTCCTGATGCGGCGGCAGCACCAGCGAGCGCAGGTGCAGGATGCGCTGCCAGTCCTCCACGGTGGCCGTGCAGCCCTGGCGGCGGTCGGGTGAGCTGAGCACGCGGCCAGCCGGCCCGGCTCGGCGCCGCACCCCGGCGCACAGGCGCACGCCGCGGCCCGGCCGAGGAGACCACCGCCGCAGCTGCTGCGTCTGACTGTGTAACTCTCATCAACAGAGCGCTGCCATCTGACGCCGGGCCAACATAGGGAACTGGAGTCAAATAGTGACGAAGCGAAATCGCTGGGGACCGCTCGCACGCCTGATCTCTGGGAGTCGTGACGGCGCGGCGCCGTCTGAGACCGCTGCTTCAGCTCGGTAGCTGGCGCGCGCTGATCCGAGTGTGACGCCCCACAGCCGGCCGCGCGTGTCAGGCTGCGCCCTCGGACCCACCTGCAGCCGGTCCCACCACATGGTCTGGATGGAGGCGCGCCGCTCCTTCACCAGCTTGAAGGTGATGATCTCCTCGAGCTCGGAGAGCATCTGAGCGCCCACCAGGCTGCCGTAGGCCCGCTGGTAGCTCTCGCCCACCATGGCTGTCAGCTCGGTGTCGAGCAGGTCGCGAGCCGTGTCGATCCACTGTCGGCGCGCCGGCGGTGCGTCAGGCGGCGGCCGGGCGCGGCGCGCGGAGGCAGCCCGGCTGGCCCGGGCGAGTCCCTCACGCCCCGCGCGCCGCAGCCCGCACAAACAGCACACCGGCTCCTACAGAGCGGGTGGGAGCACGTCGCATCAACCCGGGCTTTCAACTCAGGGGGCACGGCATCCATCAGAACGCATCAGTGACACGCGCCAGTGTTAAAACAGCGCGCGAGCGCCCGTGCCAGCCCCGCCCGCCGTCGACCGGCCGCCGGCAGCCGCGGCGCACCTGTTTGGCCTCCTCGAACTGGTCCCGCTTGATGGCGAGCACGGCGCGGTGGAAGGCGCCGTCCTGAGTCTCGCGCGGGATGGCCTGCACGTACGGCTCGAGCGCCTGCCAGCGCGCCGTGCCCAGCGAGGCGGCCGCCGCCATGCGCGCCATCTTCTGGCGCACTTCCTGCGTCGCCTGCGGCCACACGCTGCCGGCCACCTCCGACAGCTGGTCCCTGGCGTCATACGCTCACATGGTCAGACGGTCGCACGGCGATTGGGGTGGTCAGACGGCCACATGGTCACATGGTGACTGGTCAGATGATCAGACAGTCACATGTTGTCTGGGGTCAGGGATCCGATGGTGACTGACGTTATGTCTGGGGTGAGGCATCCTTGACTCGGGCCACAAATGACATGGCCAATGGGGGTCGGGTCAGAAGTTCGATAGTCCCCGCAGTCAGGCCACGGGTCGGAGAAGATGTTGGATCGACAGCGGAGTCACGTCAGAGGGCTCATGGACACCACGTGGTCACTGAGTTCAGGTCAGACGTCAGTGACTGTCGGTGCAAGATGTCAGCTCTCTCTGAGACGAGCGGTATGGTGACGCCAGACTAGGTATCAGCCAGCTCTGTGCACAAATCATACAGCGAATGCGGATCCATATCAGCCCAACTGAAGGACGTTAGATAGCACACATCCAGACTGAGCGGCGCTCAGTGGAGAAAATTCGGACTGAGCGACGTCCGGTACGACACATACGGTACATACACGATGTGCCCAACCGAAAACACCTAGGGGCGCGATCGGTGGGGCACATCCAGATTGAGCGGCGTTCGGTAGGGCACGTGCAGACCTGGGGGCGCGTTCGGAAAGGCACGTCCAGACCTAGGGGCGCGTTCGGTAGGGCACATTCAGACTAAGCGGCGATCGGTAATGCACATCCAGACCGAGGGACGCGTTAGGCAACGCATATCCAGACTCAGCGGCGTTCGGCAGGGCCCATTCAAACAGTTCCTGCACCGAGACCGCCGCTGGGAGCGGCAGTCCCCACCGCCACTGACCACGCTCCGAGCGCCAGTCGCCGCCGCCACTGACCACTCTCCGAGCGCCAGTCGCCGCCGCCACTGACCACTCTCCGAGCGCCAGTCGCCGCCGCCACTGACCACTGTCCGAGCGCCAGTCGCCGCCGCCACTAACCACTCTCCGAGCGCCAGTCGCCGCCGCCACTGACCACTGTCCGAGGGCCTCCATGCAGCGCATCTGGCCGAGCCGCAGCTGGAAGTCGGCGTCGACCGGCTCGGCGTCGTCGGCCGGCTCTGCCAGCTTGGCCGTGTAGGCGTCCAGCGCTGACTGCCAGTCGTGCAGCTTCTCGTGCCAGCGCTCCTGCACCGACACCGACTTGGTGTGGTGCTTGCGCGCGTACTCGAGCAGACCTGGTCGGACAGACGGCGGTGCTCAGTCTCCAGCCACCGCACGAGGCAGCAGGAGCTGTCACGGCGCCGCTCGCACAGGCACGGACAGGGATGTCACGACAGTGCCACTATGTGGCCTCTGGCTTCAGCATCCACCGAAGACAGGCGAGATGGCGAAGAAACCCATTGATGCATCCAGGCCTAGCGCCAGCCACCGAGTTAGCTGATGTGACAGGTGGCAGTGACGCAGCATCCCGGACCATCGAAACTCAGCCAGCCACTCCGACGCCAACCAGCTGGCCGCGGGGGCCTTACAGCCGGCTGCGACGCTTCTGCCAGCGTCTGGCCGGCTCCCTCGACCGACCTCAGCCTCCGGACGCTGCAGCGCTCTCTGAGCACGCCGCGTCCACTGCGCCCGCGCAGAGCCGCCGACCTCACCCTGAGCAGCCTCCTTCTGCTGCAGCTTGTTGTTGACGGAGATGAGCGTCTCGATGACCTGGGTGGTAGCGCCCTTGTGGAACTCCTCCTCCTTGTAGTGCAGCGCCTTGGCGTAAGCGCGGCAGCGGAGCGCCTGCTCGCCCAGCAGCCGGTTCTCGATCGGCAGCGACTCCTAGTGCGCGCGCACACACGCAGGGAGACGTTAGTCACACGCCGGCTCCCCGGACGGACGGAAGTGCCACCCTTCTCACGGCCACTCGCGGTACGCTCGCCAACACAAGCACACAGCACGCTGAGTTATGCATGTATGACATACAGCTCTCTCCGCAACATGGGCTGAACGTCAGAAGCAAATGCCAAACATGCACTATTGTCATAGGGAAGGCCTCATAACTGCTTCCAGTCCTGCGCACAGATCCAAAGCATCGTTTCCACGATATTGTTACCACATCTGCACACAAAACGGCCCGACTTCTACCGCAGTCCCATTGAGGGTACCCTCAGCCCAGCCGCACCAACGCTGCCTGCCGGCACGGCCCTGCGACCAGAGCGCCGGCGCCTCGCCACTCACCATATCGCAGTGCTCCATAAACTCGGCCAGGTTGAGCAGCGTCTGCGTGATCTCGGGGATCTCCTGCGAGCGCAGCGCCAGCCGGATGGCGTCCAGCAGCTCGGTCTGGCGCTCCTTGTCCAGCTCCGACCAGCACGACACGAACGCCGCGTTGAACAGGTCGCGCGACAGCTGCGGGTACGACTGGGCCAGCGCGCAGCACGACCTGGCGGACCGGTGGCGAGGTCAGTCGAGGTCAGACTGATCCAGAGCGCAGCACGACGTGGCCGGCCGGCGGCGAGGTCAGATTGAGCCAGCACGCAGCACGACCTGACCGGCCGACGGCGAGGCTAGCGCAGGCGGGCGCGGCGAGAACGACTCAATACAACGGGGCGGTGCCGCGGAATGAGCTGAGTTTCGCGAGTTTCAGGCTGGCAATGGGTCGGCCCTCACCGCAGTAGGAAGTGACGACGGCGGGGGAGTCGCCGTAGACTCATAATCAGTGGGGAACATGAAGGGGGTGCGACTGGAACAGGAATTGCGGTACGGTTGAACACAACCGAGACAGACAGACCGTGGGGCATGCAGGCAAAGCTGGCCGTGTGCAGCGATGGGCGAAGGCTAAGATAACCCGCGCCAGGGAGCAAGCCGCAGCGCTCACCAGCCGCCCCACTCACACCGCCCAGCACCACCGACGGCGCCCCGCCAGCGCCGCTCCGCTGGCCGAGCTCGAGCGCCGGCGAGCTGGCGGTCCGGGCACTGACCTGAGCGCGTGCGAGGGTGACTCCTTGAGCACGGCGATGCTGAGCCGGCGGAGCCACTCGGACCAGTCATCCTTGCTGATGCGGCGGGAGGCCATCCAGGCCTGCTGCAGGTTGTGCACCGACACCCACAGCTGAGGGCGGAGACAGGCGGTCCGTCGGCGCGACTCCAGCGGCTCCGCGGCGGCACGCACGCACGCACGCACGCACGCACGCAACACACACACACACACGCACACGCACACACACACACACACACACACACACACACACACACACACACACACACACACACACACACACACACACACACACACACATATACACACACACACACACACACACACACACATATACACACACACACACACACACACACACACGGCCGTACGCCGGCTGTCTCCGCTGTGGTGTTGAGTACCGTACGCGGCGCGCTCGCCGTCGGCAGCGAGCTGACGCCGTGACGAGCCGGGCCACAGCCAGCCAGCCAGCCGCGGGCAGCGGCGGAGCGGCGGTCGCGCTCGTCACGGCCGGCCGGCCGGCTCACCTTCTTGGACGGCGCCGGCTCGGCGGTCTCCGGCTGCACGAAGCCCGGCTGGAACACGCTGTTGGGACAGTCGTCCTCCATCGACGAGGTCTGCGGACAGACGGCGCGGGTCCTGACTGGGGAACGGACGTCACCGCACACACGGCACGCGTGGACGCTGCCAGCCACGACCTCCACAACGCACGACCCACGCAGTTTCGGACACCGATCTCCTCCTGACGACACTCACGTCAGACGCTGCACCGGCCGATCAAACTTCACCGCGTATGAACAGGGCACAGGGCGTGCGCGGCAAATTTGTTGACCGAGTCGCCCAAACGCTGGGCTCGTGGCCGAAAGATCTAGATTCAACCCCGCCACAAGACACTTGGCTCGTTTCCACGCGAGGTGGCGACGCCAGCGACCTCACCACCGCCTCGTCGCCGCCCCCCGCCCGGTCCGGCCGCCCGAGCGGCGTGCGGGGGCGCCGGGCCGCTGCTCACCAGGACGTGCGTGCTGACCACCTGGTCGTATTCGACGTTCTGCACGCCGTGCTTGAGCAGCACCTTGTTGACGGCCGGCATGAACAGGGCGTAGCGGCGGCGCAGCTGCTGGATCAGCGCGCACAGCGTCTCCACGGCCGGCGCGCGCAGGGAGGGGCACGTGTCCAGACACCGGATCTGCGGGCAGAGGCGGCGCCGGCGCCGGCTCAGGCGGCGGCCAGCGCACGGGGCGGCGACACGGCCAGCCAGGGACGCCGAGTGTCCGCGTGGTGGCACATGTCGCACCGTTGGAAGGCGACGCAGGCCATGGTCAAGAGACGTCGACTCACTCCGCACACGGCAGACCTCATCTCATAGAAACCTCGCCGCACGCTTCACGGGGATGATTTTGGGATCAGCTTTCCTGCTGAGCATGCTTATCACAAGGGCCGCGGTGTCTCCACTGCTGAAAACCAACCTCAGATCAGTGGAAAGTGCTCGCCCAACGGCTTTGCTTTGGGCAAAACAAATGCCATGTCATAACACGGCCGCCAAACCTCAGTCTGACACGCGCAGTCAACTGTCAAGCATAACTGAACAAAAATAGCACTGGCTGAGACGTCACCAATGTCTGCTGCGCAACTTTCTCAGCCTATTGGGATTGGCAGTATTCTGAACATCGTACACATTTCAGAACCGTTCTTGCGGGACTTCGATGTATGTGCGAAAACTGACGGTGATTGTAGTTTACGCACACCGCTAGCCTAACAAACAGCGCGGGGGGCAGTACGAGCACGGATCTGAGCTCAGGTACAGGCCGTGGCCGTGGTACCATGTTACCAGGCCTAGCTCACACGTAACACGTGAGATGGAAGCACAGTTGATTTGAGACGAGTACCATACCTAGTTGGTAGACACCAGAGCACGACAGCCACGCAGGACGGAGAGTGGGGATACGCACAGCTTGTCGTGACAACGGATCGGCGGAGAAGGCAAGGGGACAAAGATTCCCGAATCACGACGAAAGAACAAAAACAAAAACAAACACGAAGCAAGAACAAACACAAACACAAACACAAACAGCGAGCAAGAACCAAACAAACAAATAAACAAAAACAAGACCTTTTCGGGTTATACCACGGCCCTTTCAACCCGGGCCGCATCCCGGTCCTTTCAAACCAGCGCATGTATCTGCATAAGTAAACATGAACGACACAGATAAACAAGACAGCGAGGGTTTCGAAGCGTGGTGAGTCGTAAATTCATTTGTATGCAACCATGCGTCCACCAACACGTCAAACACGCTTGCGCTCCCCCTCCCCCCCCCCCCTTCCCCCCCAGCAGAAACCCCGTCTGCACAACACCCGCCAGCCAGCGGACGAACCCGCCATCACCGGAGCACCCACCAGCGGGTGCATGATGCGGCCGACGTATTCCGTGAGGTCGAGCTTGGTGGCCAGGTCGGCGACGGTGGCCAGCGCCTCCTGGCACACGGAGAGCGGCGCCTCGCGCGGGTCGAAGAGCCGCACGATCGGCGGCAGCACCAGGTGCAGGTGGTCGTCCAGGTTGCGCCCCACCTTCCGCAGCGCCGACAGCAGCTGAGGGCGGACGGCGGCGGCAGTCAGGGGCAGGCCACGCGGCCGGCCCGCCGCCGGCAGCGCCGTCCGCCGGTCACGGGAGAGCCCGCTGGAGCATGTTGCAGGCCCGGAGGTTTACCTTTCACAGCTCCGCTCCGTTTCAACGGCGAGTGGCAGGTCATGTGGGCCAGTATGGTGGTGAAATCCACTCCAGGGCAGTGGCATATGCAAATAGCATGACAATCACACTTACCCACTGCTGACACTACAAAACACACGAGCAGGCGCATGTGACGTTTGCACGCCAACGGCTTCACAGCGTCATCTGGCTCAGCGCTCACCCAGAATCCTGGCTTTGGGAGTCATGCTTTTCCAAAACGATCAGCTGTCCTCAGTTTAAACACTAATATTGAGGCTGTCGTATTACACGCTAACACATCGTCAGGTAGCGCAGCTGCTAATGGCAAAGAGGCAAACCCAACGAGCCAGCCACTTGCTCCGCTGCGGCTCGTTTCTTACAGTCGCCCCAGCCTTGCTGACCTAACACAGCCGGGGCCGTACCGTGCTGGCCTGACACCACCCCACCTCGCTGGTGAAGCAGCGCCCCCGGCCTGCTGGTGACCCAGCCAGAGCCGTACCTTGCTGGTGACCACGCGGTCCCGGCTGGTGTCGTGGTAGAGCACGCGCAGTGTGTTGGGGATCAGCTGCGGCATGTACGTCTTGAACTCAGAGCCGAGCGCCACGGCGATGTGCTCCACCAGCGCTATTAGCGTCGGCTGCAGCGGCGAGTCCAGCTGCCAGAACTCCTGCCCGGGGCGCACACGCACAGAACTCGTCAGCGCCCAGGTCCCCCAACGTTCCCCGGCTCTCGTTCATGGATATCCTGCACGCGAATTATTGACCCGCTTCACTGAGATGAAACGTTGGTATTCTACACAGGGCGCCCTGGCCACAACAGCCACACCTGAAACCCGACTACATGTAGATTATAGACCGACAGAATGTACAGCAAATACCGACCTGAGATAGACTAAAAACCGACCAGAAGTGGATTAAACCATCTAAAAGTAGAATCGCCCGGCTGCTAGTAGCCAGTCGAGTCTACTTCGTCGAGAATCACCCCGGCCGTCGGCACCGGCGCCGGCTGCGTCCAGCCCCCTACCTTGATAACAGCGAAGATGTCCCGCAGCGAGGGCCGCACGTGCTGGCGCACCACGTCGATCAGCGTGGCCAGCTGCTGGAAGAGGAACTCGCGGAAGGGCGGATCGGCCGTGCGAATAACCAGCAGCAGGCACGGCATCACCTGCGACAGGTATGGCACGCACTTGGTGCCCAGCGACTTGACGATGAAGGAGATCGCCTGAAACAGAGTACCGCCACGTGTCAGGGCGCGAGCGCTGCTTGATTCGCTCCAATGGAGCACCGCGGCTCATCACACAGGCAAGGTTCTGAGGTCGCCATTGGCGTCTTGGTTGTCATCTTGATGATCTGACAAGTTGCCAGCGAACTAATTTGACAGCAAACGGCCTCGCCGTAATACGATCGCCAGAGATAGAGGTCATGGTAAGTTGTACGGTCGCTTAAAACAAGTTTACTAGTGGGTTAACAATCCAGCAATATTGTAACACAGAGTGAACAGGCGACCAAGAAATATCGTAACACGCTCTCATGAGCTTTACAATGAGATACACCGCAACGAGTTCCGCCGAACCATTAATATCGGCAGCTGAGTTACACGGGAGCGGGAGCCACTCCACCCCTCTCCTGACCCTCCAGCACCAGGACGCACCTGCACCACCATGGTGTGGTACTGAGACAGCGCCGGGTCGCGGATGATCTTCATCAGCGTGCCGAACGCCACGGCCGGGTAGAACTCCTCCATGGAGACCTGCGACATATTCACCAGCCGCACGCTGCTGTTGGCGTCCGCTGTAACGCACCGCGCGCCCGGTCAGACCTTTCGCGCGCCGCCGGAGGCTGGGTCACGAGGCCGGCGGCTGCGCAGCACGCGAGCACGGACTCCGACACGCCACCGCTGGTGACGCGCGCCGCTGAGGCGGCCACTGACCGAGCGTGTCGGTGGTGTCCGGGTCGGGGATGACCAGGCACTCCTCGTTCTCCTCCTGGCGCAGCGTCTTGTAGTGGTACGGGTCGAGGGCGCCGAGCAGGCCCAGCACGCGGATCGTCTCTCGGCTGCGGAACAGGAGGACGAGCCCGTCAACAGTACAGCGGCGGTCAACGCAGTCATTGGAGGATCGTGGACGTCGGCGGACACGACGCCCACACGCTGGTCACGCACACAGCGTGGTTCAGAAGTGCGTACATACTACGAAGCAAACGTAGCAGTGGCCGCAAGCAGAGAACCATACGAGCAAACTGGTACAATTATTGGCGCATACTGCGTTATCACGCCTGACGCCCGAACCCCGCACGATTCAAGCCGACCACCTACCCAGCCTCCGCGCCCTCGCACGTGACCCAGACGTGCACGCGGCGGTTCCAAACGCGGCGCCCCTCCCGCTCTCCGCCTGGAGCAGCCGGCAGCGTCGCTCCTACCGTATGGTGGGCTGCTGTTCGGTCTTCAGGAAGCCGATGAGCAGGTCGAGCAGCTGCGGGTATTGCTGGTACGGACTGACCGAGGGTGCCGACGGGTCGGCGCGCGCCTGCACCAGGTTGGCCAGCGTGTACAGCGCCGCCTCGCGCTTGGCCAGCGACGTGTTGTCGGCCAGGATGGCCAGCAGCAGCGGGAACAGCTCGTTGACCCAGTGGCCCATCTCGGGCCCGCTCACCTGCCGGACGTCCTCGCGTGAGCAGTCAGCCAGAGTCGGCTACGGAGGAGCCGCCGCCAGCGTCTGCCACCGTCACTGCACCCCCTGCTTCCCTTACAGTGATGCGTCGGAAAACGCACCGACAGACACGAGTCTCCACGGTAGACACGGGCCTTCGCGGCAGACACAAGCCTCCGCGGCAGACACAGGCCTCCGCGGCAGACACGGGCCTTTGCGGGAAGCACGGGTCTTCGCGGCAGACACGGGCCTTCGCGGCAGACACAGACCTTCGCGGGAAACACGGGCCTTCGCGGCAGACACAGGCCTCCGCGGCAGACACGGGCCTCCGCCGTCCCCAGCGCTGACTCACGTGGGCCAGATCGCCGACGGCGTAGAGGATGCTGCTGACCACCACGGGGTTGGGCTCGCTCTCCTTGAGCCGCTGGCACAGCACCTTCATGATGGGGCGCAGGTAGGGCCGCGTCAGCCGCGGCGACGACGACACCAGGTGGCCGAGCAGGCGGGCCGACTGCTCGCGGTTGCGCGCCAGCCCGCTGTGCTCCAGCTCGGTCAGGATCTGGCGGCGGCCCGGCGCGAGCGGGACGGGTCAGTGGCGACGGCCGACCTCGCGCGCGGTCCAGCTGTACAGCCACGCACGGCGCGGGGCCGACGATGTCGTGCCTGGAGCACCTGTTGAGCTGTCACTGGGTATCATCCACAGCGAACAAACAACGGAACTGTTCACCGGAGTCTACGCGGCCACATGCCTTCGCAGGACAAAGAGATTCATAATTCGAAGAAGAGCGATGCAATGTTAAACAAAGGCTACGACACGGGCTCGCGAAAGTCAACCAGCCGATGAAACAGGACGCGCTGGTACAAGCTGAACGTCGCACTGATGCAAAACACCATTTCCAGCGGCCCGACTGAACAATTCTGACCACACCCAATCAATGGCGGCCCACAAACAACTGACATCGCAAACCAGCTGCGTCTTGACGGAGTGAGACGGGCTCGCCAGCGCGCGCGCCAGTCAGCCCAGCCCCACCGAGCCGGGCGGCGGCCGCCCACCTGGATCAGCGTCTTCCGCAGGCTCGGCATGACGTATGCCGGGTTCATGGCGCTCAGGCGGCCGATGATGCACAGCACCATCTCACGGATCTCGAACACCTGCGGCCGAGCGCCGGCTGACGTCACACGGCCACACGTTACGGCCGGCACGCCACTGCCCGCATGTCACGGCCCGGACGTCACGGCGGGCACGTCACGACCACGCGTCACGGCCAGCAAGTCACGGCCTGGACGTCACGGACGGCACGTCACGACCACACATCACGGACGGCACGTCACGGCCGGCACGTCACGACCACACGTCACGGCCGGCACGTCACGGCCAGCACGTCTCTGTCGACGTCACGGCCCGGACGTCACGGCCGGCACGTCACGGCCGGTACGTTACGGCCGGCACGTCACGACCACACGTCACGGCCAGCACGTCTCTGTCGACGTCACGGCCCGGACGTCACGGCCGGCACGTCACGGCCGGTACGTTACGACCGGCACGTCACGACCACACGTCACGGACGGCACGTCACTGCCGGCATGTCACGGCCCGGACGTCACGGCCGCGCGCAGCACGCGGCGAGTGGGCAGACTCTTCACTCGCGTGCGTGCGCGGCTGACCATCCGACGACAAAAAAGGCCTGATGGAACCAAATCACCTCAAACAAAGACGACGTCTAGCTTTCAGATACAGGGCAGGGGACAAACAGCCGCGGTTTTACGTAGTGGGGAGATAAGCCGAGTTTGACGCGGCTGGCGGCCCGTACAGACCCACCCGGCCACGCAACGCACCTGGTCGTTCAGCGCCACAAACAGGGCGTTCAGGTTCTCTGCCTGGGCGAGATGGTTGTCGAAACGCTCCTCCAGCGACCAGAAGACCGTCAGACGGATCTCCGGGTCTGAAAAGGCGGCCGACAGCCCTTGCAATCATCTACGCACATTGCCGCGCTCTTGCGAGTTTCCAACTCATTCATTTGGCAGCTAGCCACGCAGTTCGTATCACTTGCATTGTGCAAGTTCGGCATGTGTCTAACCCACCTCCACCCGTAAGACCTCGTCAACAAACGAGGTCCACTCAGTCACCACAACAAGAATACCGGACAGCAGCCACCGAAACAGCAGCGCGGACCCTCCGCGCGGTGGTGCTGCCCGCGGATCTTGACCACAAGACCCCCTCCCTTCCCGCCCTCTCTCAGCCGGTACGTCTGCCGATCGCCCGAGCGCAGCGCCGGCCGGTGCGGGCCCGCCGCGGCGCCGTGCACCACGCCGCTGACCCGTGTCCGTGATGCCGACGGCGAGCAGCTTGCTGATGACGTCGCTGACGCTCTTCTGCAGGCTGGAGCTGCGTCCGGTGACGCCCAGCAGCGACGGCGTCAGCAGGTGCGAGGTGGTGCGCACCGCCTCCAGCCGCACCTGCGCGTCCTCCGAGAGCAGATGGTGGTCGGCGCAGTACTGGATGAACATCATCAGCGACCAGTCTGGCGGCGGGCGCAGGGCGTCAGCACCGACCGGCGCCGACGGCGCCAGCACGGCGGCAACTCACGCCGGCTGTCCGCAGCTCATGCCGTCTGCCGCTCCGCCTGACAGTCAGGCCTCCGACGGCTCGAGCCTCACCCCCCGGGGGGCCTTTTCGGATGCGACAGCGCATCACACCACCGACGACGAACATAAATCGCGACTGAAGCATCACTCCGACAGACAGCAGGACGTCAACGGTTTCCTCACCAGAGAAAACCGGAGGCGTCGTGAAAAACGCAAGCCCTTCCCAGCCCGCCAGCCCTCCGCGGCACCCAGCACCGCACCGGCACGCCGCTTACTCACTGTCGTATTCGTAGTGCGAGAGCGTGCGCATTGCCAGCGTGGTGTTGATGAGCGAGGCCCGGTCGGCGGGCAGGCTGGCGTGCGCGGTCGCCGGCGGCCGGTGCCGCAGCACTGGTGGCTTGACGCCCAGCCGCGCCGACAGCACCGTCATCAGGCCGTCGCCCGCCTTCACCCGCAGCTCCGGGATCTGGGTGGCGATCTCCTACAGCGCGACGGCGCCGTCAGGACGGCCCAGTCAGGGCGGCGTAATCAGGGCGGCGGGGTCAGGGCGGCGGGGTCAGGGCGGCAGGGTCAGGGCGGTGGCGCGGTCAGCACGGCGCCGTCAGGACGGCGCGGTCAGGACGGCGCGGCCAGGACGGCGCGGTCAGGACGGCTCGGTCAGGATGGCGCGGTCAGGACGGCGCGGTCAGGGCGGCGCGGTTAGCACGGGACGCGGCACACGCGGCGTAACAGGCGGCAGTACGTCGCGGCAACTAATAGCCGGAACGAGCGCGGATACGGCCCACAAATGACCGTACTGTGTCCACTTAGCGACGCCTACAAAATCTTTGCTCATTTAACGTCACAATCCCGCGCAATATGGCGCCTCATCGGTCTGTCATCTGGCATCTGCCTGGTCATCTGTCCGCAGGCGTGTGCATCCATCGGTACGCGACGGGCATCTGCAGCTGCCCACACGTCTGTCAGCCGGTACCTGCAGGGCGTGAGTCAGCGCCGGCGTCAGCGCCGAGGCCAGCATGTGGTTGAGCAGCTCGTCCATCTCCGCGCGCAGCTCGATGCGGCCAGCGCGCGCCAGCAGCCAGATGCAGCCGTAGACGGCCGGGTCGGTGTGTCCGGCGGCGCCGCGCTTCTTCAGGGAGCCGTCCTGTCGGCACGCGGGCACAAACGCCGCCCTCAGCTGTGCGCGGCCGCTGCGCGAACATCGCTCGCCCGCGGCCGTCGAGGCACGGCAGGCCTTCCAGACGGCAGGGGAAGCGAGTCCGCGCCGGCGAAGCCTCTCAGCTCCCACAGTTGCTACCAGCCCGAGCCTGGCCGACGGCGCATGCTACGTTACGGCTCACACGGCCGGGCGTAGCTTAATTTGAAAGCTCACAGCCAAAAATCCCCACTGTCCTCGTCGCCTCGAGCCACGGCTGGCGGGTGTGGCCAGAGCCCGCAGCTGCTGGCCACCGTTACTGCGCGTCGGTCGATGCACTGAGCCAGCGCGTTCCAACTCACCTTGGGCATGATGTTGGCCTTGATGGCGTCCAGCACGTTCGGGATATATTTGGTAATGTGCTCGCGGACGGCGGCCGCCAGGAAGCCAAGGCAGAGGAACGCCGACGACTTGGGCGCGTCCTTCCGCTGCAGCCACCACTGGATGTACTGCACCGCCTTCGGCATGTACCTGCAGGGCGGCAGCCACATGTGGCGGTCACCAAGGCCGTCAAATCCAGGGGCCGTCACGACTGCCACGGACTGACGCCTGGAGCGGCTGCCACACGGCCAGGCTGTGCCATTTGACACGCGAGGAGGCTGCCTAGGTGACACACAGCACCGCTCTTCGAACGGATTGGCTGTCAACGTTGTCACACCACGCCGCCGCCACTGCTGGCCACGATGCAGCTTCTACACCTGTTATGAACCCGTGCTACATGTCACAGGAGGCCGTCGTCTCAGCTGTCAGAAGCAGCGGCTGTCACGTATGCCGCACTGCAACTGTATTAGCTGTCACGCGGGGTGGTCGTTACGGCAGGGAGCACCAGGGAGCCAGGGATACAGCGAGCAATGCGTTAGTCATCAATCCCGACTGAGCGACGTCAAGCCAGAAGAAGGTAGACAGCCAGACACCACATGGGGCGCTGCAGGTGCAGCTAGGGCTTAAACAATTCAGCGCGGTTCTCTTCGAACGTCAGCCCCACTGGAGTGAGCCACACACCCACAAGTAGCGACGGCGAGCTCGCAGAGCCACCGGCGGAGCGCGTCACCGGCCTCCAGACCTCTACGAGCGGCTGCTGCCGTGAGTCGCACGTGCTAACGGGGGCGCCGCCGCGTCCGAAGCGTTGAGCCGTCCGCTCCGTTACCGACCTCACCGAGCACTGGTCACGAAACAGGAAACAAAGGCGGCCTCGTCGCACTCAGGCGTGCTTCATCTCAAACGAGTCCGCCGGGGGAAGACGCAGCACTACTTGTCGCACCGTGTGGACGCTGAGTGTGGAAGAGCCCGCCCCAGTCGCGACAAACGCGGGGAAGCATGGCGCGCGCGTGCCGCTTGCCTGGATACTAGACATGCCTGTTGGTGGTCTGGCTACACCGCGCTACCATACACAATTCTACACATGCTCTCATGATTGCCGATTTGCGCAAGTGGGCCCGCACTGCCGTTTCTTCACAGACCGCCGAAAGTTCAACATGTGAGCGATACACCCAACGCATGAGACGGAGCGGGCGAGCGTCCCAGCACGGCGCGCGTCTCACTTGGCGCAGAACTTGGCTCGGTCGAGGGCCGCCAGCCGAGGCAGCATCGCCAGGATCACCTGCTGCACGTACGGGCTCTTGTTGTACATGTTCGACGTCACCTGCAGCACGGAGGAACGGTTAGGGAAAATACGGATCGAGTACCGAGCGCAGCAGGCACAGGGCCCACCGCGTTACATTACAATCCGCCCCGCTCGAGCGCTCCGTCGTGGTCGGCGCCGGTCGGGTCACCTGTACTGTCAGGTCGCGACCCTTTACTCATGAACCTCACAAAAACATGCGCCCCGCCTTGCAAAACGAGCGCGGAGAGGACGCATACTGGCGGCTGGCGCAAACGACAGCGCCGCGGGCACGGAAACGCCCAACACCGCTTTCGCGAGCAATTCAAGCGGACGGCACAACGTCGTAGCACTGCGGAACGCTGTCATCGACAACAGATCGCAACAGTCCTGGTGAGCCCGGCGACTGACGTGGTGGCAGACGGCGGTGTACTTGGCGTTGAGCAGGGCGCGACACGTCAGGCTGGCGTACAGGGGCTGCCCGCTGACGGGCGCGCCGCTCAGCAGGTAGCTGGGCGAGAAGGTCGGCTTCTGCGCCAGCCGCAGCAGCATGGCCTTGTAGCGGCGCTGGCGCGGCGCCGACTGCTGCTGGTGCTGCGGCGGCACACATCGACAGTCAGGGGCCGGGGGTCATGGGTCGGGCCACGGGTCACGGGTCAAGGGGCAAGAAAGATCACACAAACACAGTATGGTCAGGGGTTTGGTCAGATTCGAAACAAGGGGCTGGAAATGCCAGCAGACATGTGGTCAGGGTCTGGTCAGGTCAGGGGTCAGGTCAGCACAGACATATACTCAGGGGCCTGGTGAGCTCCGGGATCGGGTGGGGGGCAGGAAAGGTCAGCACAGTCACATGGTGAAGTGGGTCAAGTAGAAGATCAGGTCAGGTTGGGCCAAGCCAGCACGATTTCGGCGTCCCATTTCTATTTCGAAGTCAACTCAGACCAAACAGCCAGCAAAAACAGAGCGTCACATTCAGCTAGCGGTCCAGACATGGTCTTTGTCGGAACGCCAGCACCCACTCGAGGACGGTTACTCAGGAGGATCCCAGAAGTTCAAACGAGAAGACCACGACGGATTCCACGCGAGCGACAGCGACTAGCGACAGGCAGTCAATTCGCCCGAGCAGCGAGCCAGGGCTGAACCTGATCGGGACAGCGCCTCCAGCCCAGCGCAGCAGCGCATCACCCGCCGACCAGACACCCGGCAAACAGCGGCTGGCAACGGCCGGCTGCTGTTTACTCGCGGTTTGGCTACACCGCATAAATCGCGACCTGGGCAGGGTTTAGCCCTGCTGCTAGCTACCAAGCGAGATGAGTCGGCCAACAGGAGCCCGATGGAGATCGGCCCACGCGGTCATTCACTCAGCCCTGGCCTGATCCCAGATAACATGAAACAGCAAAAGCTAGAGTAACGAACAAGTTCAATGTTTCTGCAAAACTTCTCATCAGCCGCCGACAATGACTTTCTCCTCACGTCACAAAACTGCCACCGGCGCTGAAACAACCACTGTCATTCACCAGCTGAGCGCGTGGAGCCGCGCTCGCCACGCGCCGGCGAGCGGGGCGGCGCGGCGCCGACTGACCCGGGCGTGCCGCTCGGGCTGGTGCAGCGCCACCGCCTCCAGCTCCTGCTGCTCCACCTCCCAGTCCACGTTGCTGCAGCGCAGCAGCTCGTTCAGCACCAGCAGCGAGCCGTGCACGCGGTCGTCGCGCGTTAGACCGCGCAGGTTCTCGTCGACGAAGCCGTGCTCCAGCTCTCCGAAGCACTGCTGGTACCTGTCGGCGGCGGCGGCCGGGTCACCCCCGCGCCCTCTCGCCCGCCGAGGGCCGCGGCCGGCCCGGAGGGGAGCAGACGTAACCCGTGGCGTCTGAGCTCGGACACGGCCGTCGCAAGTTAGATGCGATGTCCACTGCATCGCATCGATAGCAGCATACTGGCGTTGTGGCATTCGATGCCGACTGCATCACGTCGATAGCAGCATACTGTGTCGTGGCATTCACAAGGGCCCGCTGGTGCCTGGTCACATGCCCCGCCGAAAAACACTGCTGGAACCTGGTGACGGAATGGGCCTGCAGTTCAGTGACATACACAGGCACGTGCGCACACACGCAAGCACGCACGCACGCACGCCCCCCCCCCCCCCCCCAACCACACACACACACACACACACACACATACACACACACAAGCAGTGCTTACGCCTGGGGACACGGCAAACACGGCCGACACCTGGCGACGTACAAGCGGACACGAGCACCGTTGATACCCGATGGCAAACCCACAAACAGTACTCGTACCTCGTAACAAACTACCAAATATCACTGATACCCAATGTGCAAGCAAGCAAACCAACCCTGCTAGCACGTGGTGAAATCTAGACATTGTCCCACACAGTAACCAGCGCGTCGGCACCAAGCAGTGCTGGTATATCACAACACACGCCGTGCGCCACGTCCCAACCCGCGGACAGTGATCACCAGCAGCGTTCTGGCAGCCGGACGCGCGCCCTCTCGCCCCGCCCACTGACCACTGCGGCTTCTGTGTCTCCTTGACCTCGCGCTGCGCCGTGACCTGGAGGGCGGCGCGGATGGCGCTGACGGCACCCTCGCGGATGCTGGCCTTCGGGTCGCGCACCGCGCAGAAGATGATGTCGAAGAACGGACCCACTTGCTGGAAGAAGTAGGTCGGCACAGAAGCGGCCAACTCCCGGATCAGGATCACCTGTCGAACGCCACAGAGCGGGGTGTGACCCGCAGCCGACCGGCGGGTCCACCACAGAATGGGGCGTGACTCGCAGGAAGCCGGCAGGTTCATCACAGAGCGGGGCATGACCCGCAGCAGGTCGACAGGTTCACCACAGAGCGGGGCGTGACCCGCAGCAGATCGGCAGGTCTACCACAGAGCATGGCGTGACCCGCAGCAGGTCGACAGGTTCACCAGAGCGGGGCGTGACCCGCAGCAGGTCGGCAGGTTCAGCACACAACAGGGCGTGACCCACAGCAGGTCAGCAGGTTCACCACAGAGTGTGGCGTGACCCGCAGCCGGTCGGCAGGTTCACTACAGAGCGGGGCGTGACCCGTAGCCGGTCGGCAGGTTCACTACAGAGCGGGGCGTGACCCGTAGCCGGTCGGCAGGTTCACCACAGGACGGGGCGTGACCCGTAGCCGGTCGGCAGGTTCACCACAGGGCGGGGCGTGACCCGCAGCCGGCCGGCAGGTCCATCAGAGTGGGGCGCGACCCGCAGCCAGCAGGCAGGTTCACCACAGACCAGGCAGGCTCAGAAGATATCAGAAGACACGGCGCAGGTAAGCGTATCATCCCACACGCACTTCAGGTCAAGACGAAGGTAAGAGACAGCGCAAACACCGACGCAAAGACCGACCACCGAAACACTCCGATGGGTCGCTCCACCTGCACAGCCTGACTCCAGCGGTGCGGGCAGTCTCCACCCGATCAGACGAGAGCGGCGACGCCGTCAAGCCTCCGCCCCCTGCGCCGAAACCCGCGCCGGCACGCTGAGCCCCCTGCAGGTCACTCACCGCCGACTGGCGCCGGTTCTCGTTGCGCTCGCCGCCCAGCCACTCGAGCGCGCGCTTGACCTCGAACTCGACGTACTCGGCCGAGTTCAGGCCGGAGCTCATGGCCAGTCGCGCCACCGCCTTGGCCGTTAGCTCGATGACGCCGATGTCGGCGCACGGCAGCAGGTTGCGCAGCAGGTTGGCGGAGCGCGAGATGCGCGTGGTGCTGTTGCCCACGTCCACGCTGATCAGGCTCACTGCCATGGGGGGGGGGGGGGGGGCAGTCAATTTGGTCGTTTGAGGACCAGGTGGCAGGCACTGGAGTGCTGTAATTGACAGAAATGTCAATGTTGTCATTGAATCAACCAACCAGTGCACTGGATCCAACCAAAGACACAGTGGGATGTGTGTGTGCATATTCGTAGAGTGTAAACAAAAGCATTCGCTAATGCCTTTGCTTAACATTTCAGGTTTAAATGATTTGTGTCTGCCCAGGTTTGTGGAGTGGTCTAGCCCCCCATCCTCGCCAAGTATGGCTATCTTACCGGTGGCCAGAATGGCGCCCTTTTTGTCGTTGCTGTCGGCGCTGGAGGCCAAGTTGAATATCTGGTGGTTGAACTCGTCCATGAAGGCCTGCAGCTCTCCCGGCGGCACCTCCAGCAGCTCGGTGCTGACATAGTGGTACAGCTCCTGCAGCACACACATGCCTGATGGTGACACAGCAGCTGGGTACCCTGAGGCACATGGTGACTGGTGAGGCCGGTTATACAGTACAGTGGCACTTTGGGACTAGGAAGTCATGACATATGCCCATAATGTCTGTTCACTTTGTGTTCGAGCATTTTCACCACATCTGATCCATCAGGCCTTTAGCAAAATGCTGGTAACATAAAAGTCAAATGTTGCTAAACTTTATCTTTACCAGCATCTCAGTAGGTTTCAGACTTTGCAACCATATCAATGTACCATGCATCTGAACAAAAACAAATGGAGAACTTTGACCAATAACTGACCTAAAAGAAAGGTGTACATGTACATGGACAGTCTTGGACCTTACAAAAGGGTGCATACTTACATGGACAGTCTTGGACTTCTCATCTTCTGATTTAGAACGGAGCCCACTTATGTATGTTTGGACAATAGATACTGGCTTAGAAGCCATGCTTGATAGTTGTTGTCTTCACAGAGCATGCATCATTAGCTGAAAGTGATAAGAGACATGTGGGTACTATGCTATTGTACTTGCAATCATACCATAACCAGTTGGGATGGAGCTGATGATATTTTGACACATGCTGAATACAAGAGGTCAAGAATACATAGAGGGCACATCTGCTGAGCTTGCATCTAATGATGGGCTCACTAGGTCTACAGACCCTGACTTCAAAGCTCTGGGGTTGTGGCTGATAACAGGAGCATATAGACTATGAATGACAATACCCCTGCAGCCAATGGTGGGTGGGGACACAGCTGACAGTGATACCAGGGCCATGGCCTGCTTCCATTCCTGGCAGCAGCTTGGCCTATTGAATTGGTTCAGCTCCCCTCTCTCCCAACCCACTAAGGTTATGTCAGTTGGCTCAGACATCTACCCTTAGTGATGTCCCAAGTTACTTAATTACCTCTTTCCAATATTATAATGTAGATAAAACATGGCTGCTTCAAAAAAAGGATTATAAAATATATGCTCTCTCTGCAATTTATATGTTGACACACTCATAGATTGCAAGTGTCCATCTGCACTGAATACATAGTATGAGCAAAAATCACAAAGTTTGAAAAGAGAGCAGATCAGTATCCGCTCCGGTGAAGTTTCTCACATGAAAAACCATTTAAAGGGGGTGCTCCGCATCCATATTCATATGGGGTTATGAGCCAAAATAGGCATATTAAAGATCACTTCATGCACTTGACAGCCATAACTTCCTTAAGGCCTAAGCCCTGCTATGTTCTGAGCCACATTCCTGTGAAGATGTGCAGACCACTTCAGAGAGACTACTGCAAGGCAGCTTAAGCATCCATTTTGACATAGCTATGCCACTTGGCTCCTGCTAAACCATTGGCCATGTGGCCATCAACATCCAGAAAAAATATCATTTAAGAGTTGTTGTTCATATCCCGCATTTGAGGGAACCATTTTCAGATATATTTGCTGTCAATCAGCACTCAACCAACATTGTGCAAGTTATGACAACAAAATCAAAAGGCAATATTGAGGAGCAATTTACTTAACTGATGGACTGTCTTCTAGAGCAGCCTTTCCACTTGACAGGATGCCAATGGTGTAAGTTAGTATATTTCATCACATTTGATGCTTCTTCAAAATGTTCACATATGGGTCACTCCCTTAAACCACATTTCAAAACTCAATGTAGGTTTACTTTTACCTGTTCATAAAGCATGGTATTCAGTCCATACAAAATCTAAGCCTGTGATACCATGAGCATCATTGTAACAACAAATAGCTTTAATGGGATGAAAACATTTGAAGGCAAAGCTTGTTAATGCAACAATCAGCTTGCAATTAGCTTCCAACAAGCAGTTCATTGACAAGCTCAATGGTCATGCACATGGCGGGCATAACAGGAACCAAAGGTGGTGACGTGCTCACAACATGAAAATTTCAGCACACGTAACAATTAACACTGGACTGCGACATAGCGTTACCGCTGTTGTCAGCTGAACTTCAAGGCCTTGAGGGCCTTCAGGGGAATGCCTATTAACGATCCGGACTACCTCCGTCCACACGCAGCTGAAAGCCACCAGTTTTGAAGGGTGTTAATTTACGCCGATGACGCCCCCTGACATAAACATTGGAAGTACTGGCGAGCTTAGCGTTAGGAACAACGCATGAGAACCGAACGTAGCGCGTTTGTTACAGTGTGAGAAGCTTATGCGTGCAAAAACGCCACTAGCAAAATGCGCTGCGCAGGTACCAAATTAGGCAAGCCTTCTTACAGAGCTTAGTCCTACCGGGCAGCTACTGCCGTCAACACAAAATTGGCACGTTCAATTGGCAACTGGTCAGGCCGCAAGCGCTTGTGGGCTTGCTTCACCTAGCGACTGAGCTTCCTTGTTTAAACTGTGCATGCATCATTTCGGGATTTATTCAACATTAGTCATGGGATTCACCGGCCAGCCCGACTTCCGGCTGCCGGGCGGGATGCCTGACGGGAACCGGGTGTGCTGTGCTTGAATCGCTTGCAACTTTCAAGGAGATCGATGGGTGATAGTCCATCCCTCCCTCGCCCTCTTTAAACGTGTTAGGGGGGTGGGAGGTGGCTGTTCTAAATGCTTGAAGAACCTAGGTTCTTCAACCAATGAATAAATGAATAAAATGATCTCATTTTATGCATTTCAACATGTCATTGTAAGCCCATGGGGATAGCATTATTTCGAATCCAAGATACACATTTCCATAGCGCTTGGCGGTTTGCGGCACTTCGGCATACTTCGAAGCTGGTGTGACATTACCTTGTTGGAACATCAGGAATACCCACCCACAGCTCATTTGTCACGTACGCCATTGTAACGCAGTTACGATCAGAGGTTGCGGTGCATGCGCTGTGCTATAAGTCGAATCTGCAAATGTTTTTTATCTTGCGGTGGCCTCACTGATACGGAGACTTCAATGCCACGCAATCGCTAGCCGCGGGGCGTAAAGCTGAGAGACAGACGGAACATCGCAAATCCTCTTAACAACTAATGCACGAGCTGTTTAGTGGGAGGTGCGTATGACCAGCGGGGCCTTTGCGTAGAATTTCATTAAAAATATGGTACAGTGCCTTGTAAACATATGCCACCAACCAATAGGTACGATGCAAGGCATGGGAAGTATAAACGTACACATGGTAATTATGTGGGATAAGACGGCCGGAATATCGGGCTCTCTTCGTATCGATAACGATGAAACTCCTTTTCGGCAGGTACATATGACCAGCGAGCCAATCGCGTAGAAGTTAAAGCCCAATGTGATGGTGCACTTTTCAAGAGCATATCCTGCCAACCGTTACAATGAAATCGGCATGGAAATAGAACACCCTCACGCGAGAACTGCTGCAGAGATGGGCGGTCGGGATATTGGACTGCCTTCGTACCGATCATGAACTGTTTGGGTGTACGTGCGCGTAACCAGGGGGCCAAATACACACCATGTTTGCTTGTTACAAATGCATGGCTTATTGCGCCTGGTGAAAGTTGAACATGCAATGACGTCGTAGAGCCTGTATTCAGAACGGGAATGATTGCAGAAGACGGGCGCGAAAGGTAAAGTTGGAGCATGGTTTGTTGCGCCTGAGGTTTGGTCGAAGAGCAGTGACGTCATATCATCAGCTGATGCTCTATGGCCTTAAATCGGCTCAAAAGAACCCATCAAAATGTATGACCCGTAACGTCACACGCTGCGGTGATCCGTCAAAGAATTGATGTTCGATCGACGCAAAACCGTTTTCAGTGACGTCACAATATCAGTGGATGCCTCACCGCCTTTCGTCAGCACGACAGTATACAAACCTTGCAGCCATGGTAGCTTGTGTTAGGGTGGGAGTTGCAGGCAATGGAGTAAGGGGGGGATGTGTTTATCCAGTCATTACTCAAAACGTGTGATGTGGTGGATATTACTTACAAGTATGGTGCAGCTTGTGCACATGACCCTGTCGCATACTCAAACCATCTTCTGATTACAGAAACAAACATCCAGCCAGCCGGGGCCCTGCACTGTGGGGAGCCCCCCTACAAAAGTGCTGAGGCATGGCTTGCCCCAACCACACTGACAAGCCTTGTCTTAAGAAAAATGCACAACCTGAAGCGCAGCATGCAGTCACCAGTTGTATCAAGAGCTGTTCAGTGGTACTTATGGCCGAGCCTGAAACCATGCAGCAAGAGGTGTGTTGCATGCTTTTTGTATTATATTTCAGGTAAAGTAGGGCGACAAGAGAAAGTATTTGGGCATGCTTCCTGCATAAAGTGTTGCATGTACTATTGGTGTGTGCCATGTACATGCAGATGTATGCTGGCATGAGGGCATGCTACAGATTGCTGGGCTGACTGTTATAGCATAAATGATGCACAAAGGACAGTGTGAGCTTTTTCACACTGTTGACAGTGGCATCAGCCCAGAAAGACAGAATCCATGCCTGCAAAATGAGGAATGCCTTATAGTGTTAAGCCAGTAAAGTTGGATGGTAGCCTATGAGATGGCTGTGGCCAGCTCCTGGCACACTTCACAATGGTGGTGAGAGTCAGTGGTGAGGATGAGTAGCTGCAGTTGTTATGTCTTCCCACATGTCTGACTGTCACTGTCACTGTCACTGCTGCTGTCACCAGGTCAACCTTTTATTATTACAATTTTCTGGTTGAGGAGGACTGTGAGTCTATTCAAGCTGTATGACAAACCCTCACATGTGTGTGTGTGTGCATGTGTGTGTGTGTAATTAAGGCATAATTTCCATATTGGCATGTGTGATCACTTGTTCTGTGTTCACTATCTCCTCTCATAAGTCCTCCCTCACTTTTTCACAGGAGACTGAGTCTGTGATCAGTGGCATGACCAGCCACTGGAAGAACTGTGATGCTGTGGCTGCCCCTGATCACATACCTTCATCATCACATGATGCTCCAGGGCTCAGCAATCTGCATATATGTGGGTGAGAAAAGCTTGATCAAATTTGCCTTCTTAGGCTGGTGGCATGGTTAATGGCTTTTATTAGAAATAATTGTGGGTTGTAGGCAGAAACCCTTGTCTTTTAGATGATGCATGTCCTTGCTCAGACGGTTTGAGCTATGTTATTACCTAGTAAGTGAGCAATGTGGAATACACCTCAACATTGCTAGTGCATGCACAACATATAATACATGGTTACATTTGCATCTCATTAGACCATACTAATGCATTGCTTAGCTTTGATGAGCTCATGATCATTATTGGTATGCTGATGATAACACAGGACTCTCTAAGTGCTGCAAGTGTTTCAGTTTACAATTACCATTTGGATGACTGCCTATGCTTCTGTACTAAAGAGTTAGAGGGATTATAGTGGTAGTCTCTGGGCTTTGCATGTGACAAATTGCAGTGTTTTTTATTGGCCTCTTAATCACATGTTGTCAGCCCTGATCTGCTGACACAGTGATGGAAGTGTCATCCACTCTTGCATGCAGTTGATGGCCTTTCCCACTCAATCTGCCCCCTGCTCTGTGCACTGCTTCGGTGACAAGCCTGGAGCCGACCTGGCGACCACGTGACCTACCACGTCCTCGCGGTAGAGTCTCCCCGCCTCGCGACGGCGGGTCTGGCTCGAACCCGGGAGATCTGCCGCGCCGCGTCAGTGCGGAACCGGGGACCGCCTGGCGCGGGACCGGAACCGGGACCAGGACCGGGACCGGGACCGGGACCGGGACCGGGACGCGGGACCGGGCCGACCACGACAATCGGGGCTGCCGTCACCGCAAATCGCTGGGCGCTGTTAGCTGTTGGAAGCCCATGCTCAGCCTCGGAGTGATGTGTTTGCCAGGTGTGGTGCCACCTCAGCCGTCCAAACAACATCTATGTGTATGTGTATGTGTGTTGCAGACGGTATGAGCCGGTGACCAGGAGCTCCAGGTCAGTGCCGTCCGACGGAGAAGATGGCGCTGAGGATTGGGGGCGTACTGTGCTGATGACGTCAGAACAGCCGGACTCCCGAGTCAGCAGTCCTTCAGGTGCAGGTGAGCACAGTGTCACAGCATCGGACGGCCGCGTGGTGCCGCCCCGCAATGCCGCCCTTCAGGTGCAGGTGAGCGCGGTGTGACATCAGACGGCCGCGCGGTGCCGCCCTTCACATGCAGGTGAGTGCGGTGTCACAACATCAGACGGCCGCGCGGTGCCGCCCATCAGGTGCAGGTGAGCGCGGTGTTACAGCATTGGACGGCCGCGTGGTGCCGCCCAGCAGTGCCGCCCTTCAGGTGCAGGTGAGCGCAGTGTCACAACATCAGACGGCCGCGCGGTGACGCCCTTCAGGTGCAGATGAGTGCGGTGTCACAACATCAGACGGCCGCGCGGTGACGCCCTTCAGATGCAGATGAGTGCGGTGTCACAACATCAGACGGCCGCGCGGTGACACCCTTCAGGTGCAGATGAGTGCGGCGTCGCAACACCGGACGGCCGCGCGGTGACGCCCATCAGGTGCAGGTGAGCGCGGTGTGACAGCATAGGACGGCCGCGCGGTGACGCCCATCAGGTGCAGGTGAGCGCGGTGTGACAGCATTGGACGGACGCACGGTGCCGCCCATCAGGTGCAGATGAGTGCGGTGTCACAACATCAGACGGCCGCGCGGTGACGCCCATCAGGTGCAGGTGAGCGCGGTGTGACAGCATAGGACGGACGCACGGTGCCGCCCCGCAGTGCCGCCCTTCAGGTGCAGGTGAGTTGATGTGTTGCTAGCCTTGCGGTGCGATCGCGGGTGTCGAGTTTGCCCCCAAGCCAAGGTGATGGCATTGGACTGCCACCGGTTGTTATTCCGGCTGGGGTCGAATAGACAGGAGAGGTGTGGTAGAGAAAGATGAGGAAAGGAGGATGGAGTGGATGAGACGAGACGAGACGAGACGAGACAAGAGGACAGCAGAACACAGCACTGCACAGAACTACTTGGTTTGATGAATACACGTGTGAATTACGTAAGCTGTGAAGTGCATTTACGGGGGAACATTATTCACATAGATAAGACAGTAGTAATGGCCCTATTCCTCAGAGAAAAGCCAGGTGACTGGAGATACAGATGCGTCGATATTTTTCGGGGGATTAAACCAGGAGCGGTAAGCCATTGCTGTGATATCGTGCATATCCAACTAAGTATTTGAATGTGTGAAAATACGCGTACATGCAAAGGAATTCAAGTAAACGAGCATCACGCATCACGCGGATGCGTGGGGTAACTAACGGCGTTTGATATACCCAGCACTTAGTACTATACTGAGTGTACCTACTTCACTGTTTTTTTAACGTGCCCAATCCGCCATCCTTCAGTTTCTGCAGGCTGATTTCTACATCAGTACTGGAAGGTTCCGGAAAATTCTTGCCGATGTCTGGAAATCTAAACACCACATTCGGGGTGCGACCTCGGTGAGGCTGATCTTCGTTGCGATCTTTGGTGTCTGTCCCACGGAGACCGCAAGGTGCGTTCGCGGGTTCGGATGGTACTGCTGCGCCGCCTATTGAAGCTGGCCGGTCTTCGTCTGGTGGAATCACAGTAGTGGTGTTGCTGCCGTCACGCAATTTTGAGATGTACTCTTTCCGCCGTTTGCCGTCTGCAGAATGCTCAAATTGTGTTTCTTCTTGAACTAAAATGTCTTTAGATGCTGACTGCGCTTACGCAAAGTTCTGACCTTTCGCTAGAAGATTAATTCCTGCGGCATTAAATTCTACAGACTATAAACCATTCACTCTGTTTTTACTTGTTGGACTATCATTCGGTTTTTCGTAGCAGTCATTCACCTGACGCTTAGCTTGAAGTTGTGTGAGCGTGTTAATCAGTCTTGGTCTATTTTCGCGAATAGTGATTTCAAAAATTCGTTCACACGTCGCACATGCGTATCTTTTGTTCCTTAGGAAAGATGGGATTGATCCAAATAAGGGTGAACATTGTGTTTCTAAAAAAGCATTTGAAGACCTTTTTCGAAAAGTTTCTATGATTGCCTCGCGCACTAAAGCCTTAGCAATGTCAGCAGGACGAGTTAAAGCCCTAGTCTCGGAGAAAATATGGGTCACAGGCTTCAGTGCGTCTTTGATGTACCGCGGGACCTAGCTTTTCCTACGGCAGGCAATTAAGAATTCTATGCGTAATTGAATTTTAGTTAGTTTTTTTGGATTGTGGAGAGCTTCAGCCAGCATTTTCTGGCGGCCGCTATTGGGTCCAAGTTTACGAAAGTTGTTAAGCGCGTGTGTGAGAAATATTAATCGCATAGGTAAGAGAGTAGTCATAGCTTTATTCCACGGAGAAAAAAAAGACAGGAGAATGGGGATATAGATGCGTTGATATTTCGGCAACATGCCTTCATCCGTTATATCATCTGTCATATCTGCGTGCGGTGGCTTTACGGAAGAAAACTCCGTGTCTTTTAGAGAAAATAATCGACTCTTGGGGTTTGTTCCTACTCATCTGTGGGGCACCAGAAACTTTTAAAAAGGCTTTTAATCGTTGGGAGGCGCCAGGATTAGCGGAGGGCAGCATTTTCTTCAGTGTAGATGTCAATTTATATGGCAATATACCAGTCAAAAGTGTTAGTGCTGCCGTGAAAACTAAGGTAGACAAACATTTTCTTGAAATTGATCGTTTCGGTCCGTCGCAATCTGCGGTCTTTCAGAACAATGTGTCAAGGATAAGTTTTTTTTTCGATCGGAGATGACTTTTACCGACAGAAATTGAGTATAGGAATATGGAACCCTTGCGCTCCTCCTTCGGCGATACTGTTTTTAGACCAATTCGAAACAAAGGCCCTGGCCGCCAGCCCATTAAAACAAACTTTCTCAGCTAGATATATCAATGATTATGCTGGGGTGTGGACGCACAAACGGCATGCCCTTGAAGAATTTGTAGAATTCATGAACAAACAGCATCCAAATTAAGCCTTTACGATGGAGCGTCAGGGGGCGAAAAGGGGTCCCATATTTGGATACGCTAGTGACGGTGGAAAAGAGGAACAGCCGCACAACGTTAGAGACGGACCTCTTTATCAAGCCCACCAGCTGTGGTATAATTCTGCACTGCGAATCTGCGCATCCAACTTCCACCAATCGCAGAATGATTTGTAAGATATTCCACAGGGCTCTAAACAGGTCATCATATAGTGAGGAAAGAAAGAACATAAACAAAAAATGACGTTTGCTGTTGGGCCATGTTTAGTCACCGCGATTTTTTGCAGAATGTTGGAGGAAGCAAAAAAGAAATAGCGCGTGGGGGATGGGGGTAGGAGTCGGAACACGTCCTATCGGACGACGGATTCTTAACGCTGCCTAGCATAGATGAGCACTTGCTTCGTAAAATCAAATACATCGTTAAGAAATCAAAACTGCGCGTACGCATAGCTTGGAAGAACGACAATAAGCTAGAAAAGTCGCTGGTGAAATCCTGTATCTCGGAGCCTACGTGCCCAGTTGGCAATAGATGTCATTTATGTCAGCAGCTGAGTGCGTTGTAAAGGCCCAATTACACACAGATGTCATTTATGCAAGTCTGGGCTTCAAGGGGTTTGCACGCAAAAAGCGTGGTTTACGAAATTAAGTGTTAACTGTGTTAAAAACATGGGAGGACAGAGTCTATGTCGGTTAGTCATGCGCCCTATTCGTTTGTGATCTAATAAACACCTGCGAGATGCTAGAAACAAAACAATGAATACCCATTTCTTTGACCATTTTCTCGCTAAACACGCCTGGGCTGAAATGCGGGAATGTATGGACCCGATGCTCCTTTTAGAGCTGAAAGTCATCTGCAGAGCACGAGACTACCCAGACGGAAAAAAGTTAATCTGTTATTACAAAAAGTTGACAACCAAACCTAAACGTACAGGGCTCATCGTTGCTGATTATGCGAACGTGATACGTACCTTTATGTGTGATGTGTGCTAGCTTAAAATCGTTCACATGTGTAAGTGATGCCTGACGCGTGATCCGCGATGCCCGTTCAATTGAAATCGCTTGCATGCACAATTGACGCGGGATGTGTGATGCCTGTTTAATTCAATTCGCTTGCATGTTTGAATGAAGCGTGATGCGCGATGCCTGTTTACTTGAATTCATTTGCACGCACACGCATTTTCGCGTATTCTAATTCTTAGATATGCACTGTATCGCAGTAGTGGCTGGCAGTTGCCACTTGTTTAATCTTCTGAATGTTGGTGTCCTGTAAAACCGTGGCTAATTGTTTAAAAAAAAACTGAAAAATCGATTAGTGTCTTTGACAGGCAATTTTCAAGTTACTTCTACTATTCGCTTTGACGAAGGCATGTCGCCAAAATATTACCGCACCTCTATCTCCAGTCTCCTGGTTTTTCTTCGAGGAGTAAGGCTATGATGACTACTGTCTTATCTATGTAAATACACATGCGGATGTGAATGTGAAAAAATCATGTAAATACAATACAGACTGAGCGTGTTCAGCCATGCGATGTTTTACAGGCGCCGTCTCAGACGGTGACGTCCCGCCTGATCCGTTGGCGTTGTCGGCTGCAGATGAAGAGCTGCTGAAACACGACACTGGCTTGTCACCTGGCACAACGGGTGCGTACTTCACTAGGCTTGTGCCAGCGGGTGTTGCGTTGTATCGTCGGAATGCTTGATTCATAATGGAGAGGACATGGGCTCGTAACTCGTGGCCACCCGAGTTACAAGACAAAAAAATAATGGAAACAAGTCAAATGAGAACAGTTGAAGGACAAAAAGTCGTGATGGAAAACGTTGACCGAAGACATGTGCCTGATTCCTAGTCCCGATCCGCGGTTCCCTCTGGTTCCTTTGTCAAAACAAAACTGGATCCTGGTTCCCACTGGTTCCTTCGCCAAAAACAAAACTGGTACATGCTTCACATCGGTTTTTTAGTCAAATCATAACTGGTTCCTGGTTCCCACTGGTTCTTTCGGCAAACCAAAATCCTGGGTCTTGGTTTACACTGTTTTGGACAAAATACAAGCCTGGATCCTGGCTTCTTCGACAAAGCCAAACACGGGATCCTGGCTCACTCTATTTCCTGTGACAAGACTCAGTCCTGGATTATGCTTCTCAATAGTTCTTCTGACAAAGTGAACCCTGGGCGCAAAATGACCCTAGAAGTCGACGCGCCCTAAAACCCCAATCATTATCAAAGCGAACCCTAGACCATGTTTCGGGCTGGTTCTTTCGACAAAACAAAACATTGGATCCTGGTTCTTACTATTTGTATGCAGCCAATGGTCTTGGTTCCTTGTTACCATTAGTTCTCTCGCTAACATTGAATGCAAAGACGTTAATTTTTGTCGTTCATCTTTTTGTGGCTCAACTTTTTGTCGTTCGACTTTTTCCGATTCGACTTGTATTCTTAGCGACCGTTGTGCTTCAATTTTCCTCATTCCACTCGTATCCTAGTCGACTTTCATCTCCGTGGTCTTTTTTCGTTTGACTTGCGTTCCAATTTTTCCCATTGGACTTTTTGTCCGTCTTATCCCAGTCGGCCGTCATCTCCGTCGTCTTCTTGTTTGACTTTTGCGCTCCACTTTTTCCATGAGACTTTTTGTTCGGACACCGGCCTGTTGTGCTTCCAGGACAACCGACGCAGACTATCGCGATTTGGATGAGCTTGCCTGTTACAACTTTCCTGCGTCATTAGATTACCGAACTAGGTTCTCAAGAAGCATGTTCTTATTCTCTTGCGCAAAATCCATCAGATTTTTTGTCTTTCATTGCGTTGTGAGCAAATATTTGTCGGGCTAAATCTCCGTTAACATGACATTTCGTGCCTGCAAAGTTATCTGATGGAAAACCCTGAAATTGTATAAATCGCATATTAACTCCTCACACGCAGAATTTTTAACATCGTGTTTGTACGCGCGATTCTCCGCGTCCCTTTCCTTGCGTGCCCATTCGTTTGCTGTCATGTCTTTTGTTGGCACCCGCAATTCTTTGCACAGCATTGCTTTGCACGTTGAGATATTTGTGTCGCATGTTTTTACCGCGTCTTCTATTTTCGTGAAGTTTATGCAAGCCTGCCGCTCTCTGTCGGGAGGGGTCCAAATATCTTTAACGTGGTGACGATGTCATTTGATGACTTGCAGCAGGTTCTGTTCGTACATTCCACACGTCACCAGTACGTCGTTGCTCAAGGATACGAGTCCCACCTCGCCCGAGAAAGTCGCTAACCTTCGCGATCCTGCGTGGAGTTCCTCGGCGATCTTGAAGCGAAGTGTTTTCTCCCATTCACCGCAACCGGCGGCAGTGAGGTTCTTGTTAATTCCGGACGCCGCCGGGATTCCTTCAGACCTTGTCATGTTGAGGTCTGCGATGGTCCTGCTGGCGAGGATATCCTTTGCCGAGGGATCCACCTGCGCATGCTGGGGCGTACTCTCCAATCCCTGTGGCCAGAGTGTGGCGAACATTATCCCATCGCATGGAATACTGTCTAAAAACGAGATACCAGCCAGTTTCCGATGAAGCACCAGGGATTGTCGACCGACTTCTTTGATTCCTGTATGTTCAGCCTGTATCGTAGAGCTCTTCCTCCGTCGGTCCCCGATGGATTTATAGATAACCACTCACACCTTCGGAGAGGGAAAGTAATTACGCATCTATGTCAAAATGTCATCCGATGCGAACATTTCACCTTTCCGGAAAAGGTAGTGTGGCAACGTTTCACAATAACACAAATGTATCGCTCGGAAGTATGCTCTGGCTGAAAGTATTCCCAAATGTTTTATACAAGGGGGTGAACGTAGAGTTGCGTCATCATAACGTACTTAATTTTTTGTCGACGGTTCTCTGCCGCAAATACATGAAAACGAGGTCCGTTTTTGTGGCGTTGATGCGTAACATAGTATGCACATGGCTTGAGTTTTGCTCAGCTTGGTTGGTTGGGGTAACAGCAGTGAACAAGCTGTATGTCGTGTGTTATTTTGCCCTCTTATAATACTGCATTGGTTTTGCACGAAACTCATCGCCATCGAATCATCACTAAAAGTCACTAATACCGTCACCACGAAGCATATTTTGCTCTAGCTGTATCGGCTTTGCGGTTTTCATTACTATTTGTGGATGAGGTAGCTGCTCGTTTCCCCAAATCAGCAGAGTTTGTACTTTTTATGTAATACTATGTCGCGTGAATCGATGCAAAGAAATGAGATACGTTGGCTCTTGCAAGCATGCCTCCCACGGAAATGTGTACAGAAGAAATGAACTGCGACCTGGTCGGAAAACTGATACTTATTTTCAAATAGTGTTTGGAGCACTCCTAAAGTTAACCTGCCCCGCTGGTTAACTGTTGGTTAACCTGTTAACCAACAGTTCACTGTTTCCAAAGTGAAAAGAGTACTTGCTCATTAAGTTCTGTGGTCAGGCTCGTGCAAGTCTTGAATGTTGATCTAACTAAAGCTGCTCTTTCCAGGTTCTTCATTGCTTTGCTGTGGATACTGCGGCTTCCATCCTTCAAATCAAGACAGTCTCATGGAGCACCTGAGATGTCAGCATCAAGAGGAGTCGTCTGGCTGGGCCTTCCACAGTCAGAGCCAGTGTGACAGCGAGGGCTGTATGCGCCAATGCTGCGGAGGGGCGCCCAGCGAAATGAAGTGTTTAACACGCTCCGTTCTACCTCACCATGATGCGAAGCTGTGCAGATGTGACGCGTGCGGGAAATCGTTCGCCCAGCGGGACGTCTTAGCCTCGCATGTTCAAACCCACGCCGCCGAGAAATCGTTCACGTGCGAGGTCTGTAGAGAGTCGTTCAGCGAAGGGGACCAGCTCACGTACCACCTTAAAGGCCACACGGAGAACAAGATGAAAACTTGCGAGGTATGTGGAAAATCATTCAAGTTCCAAAGCAGCCTTATGCGTCATCTCCTGAGTCACACAGGTGAAAAGCCGTTCACCTGTGAATTCTGCGGAAAATCATTCGGTCATAAGAGCAACTTTAAGTTGCATCTTCGGACCCACACCGGCGAGAAGCCGTTCAGTTGTGAAGTCTGTGGAAAGTCGTTCTATCAAAGGTTCGACCTTAATAATCACCTCCGGACTCACACAGGTGAGAGGCCGTTCGTTTGTGGAGTCTGTGGGAAGTCGTTCAGTCTCAGGAAGATCCTAACGTTCCACCGTCAGACCCACACAGGGGGGAGGCCGTTCAGTTGCGAGGTCTGTGGCCAGTTGTTCGCGCAACGTAGCCACCTCACGAATCATCTTCGGGCCCACACCGGTGAGAAGCCGTTCAGTTGTGAGCTCTGTGGGAAGTCGTTCGCGCAACGTGTCAACCTTACGAAACACCTTCGGACCCACACCGATGAGAAACCATTCAGTTGTGAGCTCTGTGGGAAGTCGTTCAGGCGACGTAGCCGCTGTAGGGATCACCTTCGGACCCACACCGTTGAAAAATCGTTCAGCTCGGAGTTCTGTGTGGACTTGCTCAGGTAACTTCACACCTTTGCGAAGCGCCTTCGAACTCGCAGAGGCAAAATGCTGACCTGGTGTAACGTCTGCGGGAAGTCGTTCCTTGTGAAGTCTCGCCTTACGTATCACTTTCGGATTCACGCATGTGAGAAGGCGCCCGGTCGTGGAGTCTGTGAAAGGACATTGGGTCGCAGTGGCTCTTAAACTGCATCTTCTGACCCACGCCGGTGAGACACCGTTCGGTTGTGAACTCTGTGGAAAGTCGTCCAGACGACCGGCTACCCTGCGGGTCACCTTTTGGCCAACACCGATGAGAAACCGTTCATTCGTGAGCTTTGTGGGGACTTGTTCAGGGGACTTTTTACCCTTACGAAGCACCTTCGAACCCACAAAGGTAAAAAAACCGCTGAGTTCGGAGTCTCGTCGCCGGTTGTTCAGCGACAGGAGCAGCCATACTGACACCTGTGGGGAGTCATTCATTCAGACGAGCCATTATGCTCAGCACCTTCAGGCTCCGAGAGGTGAAAAGCCGTTCAGTTGTGAAGTCCGGGAAGTTGTTCCGTGTGAAGTCCCACCTCATTTATCACCCCCGGATACGCACAAGTGAGGATCCGTTGAGGTGTGAGCTCTGGGAAGTCGTTCGGGCACAGAAGCAACCCTACTATGCAATTGCAGATCCAGGACAATAGAAAAGCTGTGTATTTGAAAAGTCTGTGGATTGTTGTATTGTTACCGCAGCACTCGTACCTATCGCGTTCGAACCCGCACCTGTGAGAAACCTTTCAGCTGCGGTGTGTGCGGACAGCGTTTTGTTGAGAGTAGTGTGTATGTTAACGTTTGCGACCACTACTTTCAAAACTTGTGCTGTGTAAATCGTCGTAATGCATACCTGGGCACGAACCAGGTTAATTGTGGAACGTGCGGCAAGTCTTTCAACCTCAGACGTGTACATGGACGTTGTATTTGACCCCGCCCCAGGCGGTGACATTGGATTGTACCGCAAGGCATTTTGTGAACCGTGCTCTTCGCCTTTTGTATTGAATGTTGGCTGCCAGCCGGAAATAAACCTGTGCAGGGTTCCGCTCGACCAACACCGGTTTCCACTCCGTCCCACAGCGTAGTAGTATTTCCGACATGGACTCCAGCTACCAGACCAGTGTTGAGGCCGCGCATATCCCGATGAAGTCGGCCCAGTCGCGCGCTTGATGGTGGTGACGGTACCGGTAGGAAGCACACCGCTTACTGTGCGTCAGAAATACGCATCAACCGTGCATTCTGACCTGCGATCGTGATCACGATTGGTGGTGGCCGACTGAGTCAGGTTCCGCCGGCCCGTTTTGAACCGCTGGAAACTGGCTGACAAAGACTTCTTGTGACAAGTGAAGTGCGCGCTTAGATCAGCCACCGTGCGTCTCTTGGGCCGCTAAACGGAGCTGAGCAAGATATGTCGTTTACGATTAATCTCAGCAAGCTTGCAAAGCGGCCCGGGCTTGCTTTCGGGATAGGGGGCTGCAGCTGCTTTGGTGCGCGTCGTGCTGATCCCGCTCCGAGCGAGCAGTGCAACGCCCACATGCCCTCGGCCATTCGGCCGGTCGGTAGCTGAACCCGTGGAGAAGTGGCTTACTGTGTTGTGTTGCAAACATGTTTAGCCACCATAAACATTCACCAGGCTGTATGCATTGATCAATGCAAAATACATCGACGTGTATCAACGCTATCAGTTGAGTTAATCGTATTCACGAATCATTCCAACAAGTGGTTTATTGTCTGATTTGGTACAATGACAACAGAAACATAGATTTAATGTAGTAACATGACACCAACGGAACCACATTCGCACGTTATCAACTATCCACCCGTTCTCACGACTCAGTCAAAAACAAAATAATTAACAAGATCTAAATCGTTGGCGTCAATCGCCGCTGTACCCCGGCTGCATCGTGGGCACAGCTGCAGTCTGTGTCGGAGGGGGCCTGGGTGCGTGCCTTTTTGCATTTGTCTCTGCAACGTTGATAATCTCATGCGCGATTCTGGTTCACATGTATCGTGCATTACCCACGATGCTGAGAGCGTTCGCATTGTGTTCTGGTCGCCTGGTATCGGTGCATTTCGTCTTTCGCACTTTGGTAATAAACATGGAACCGTGTCAGCGGGAGTATTTTACGGATTGAGTTAATGCGGAGGTCACCGATGAACCCGACGCGAGCCGGCCGCTGCCGCTGCGCGTGCAGCCGCCTCAGACAGGCGGCGGCCCGACTCGGAGTCAGCGCAAAATCGCTGCAGCTGGACGGCGACTCAGCCGTCGACTCCCAGGCCCGTCGCGCTTCGGAGATGATGAAGATACTGCTGCACCGATCGTTGCTGGACGCAGGCTGGTCCCCTGGGCACACAGATACTGTGACGACAGCAGCGAAACACTGCCTTGCTTCGTCTTTCCTCTAAGTGCCTCTGGCGCAACCAGAGGCTGCCTGGTTCGAGGGCATCACGTGCTTGGACCGCATGAGTCACTAAAGTGGCCGTCTCTGAGTAGGTTGTGATCTCCAAGGGTAGAAAACGCTGGATGTCTGAAAAGCTTGACATTCCTAAAAATCGTGTTCATTATAAATCAATATATCCACATACCACATATATTCATGGGTAGGAGGTCATGTACTCAGTCCACTCATTACCGGGCTGATGCCTTCAGGCGTACTCATACTTGACTGCGCTTAATCAGCCCACTATCCATCCGTTTCCATTTTGCAGCACTTAAGCATGAATTATGGACGAGCTTCAGGAAGGCTTTTTCCGAACCTCTGTCAGTTTTGCATCGCCGCAGGACAGCAGCCGCCGGAAAGGTTTTCTCTGTATCGGAGGGGAAAAACAGGAGAGTAGAGCAAACACCCCCTCCGTGACAGAGCCTACGATGTCCCCGGGCGGCGCGGCCTTGCCGGTGACGCAGTTGCCACCCGCGGCAGCGGCCGAACTACAACCGTGCTGCCAGCGGCCAGGCAGCACGTCAGGGTATCACACCCTACCTCCCCAACGATACATCTCCAAGCCTTCCACCGAGTACAGTCCGCTGACCGGACCCGCGCCCCGGATCCGCCGCGATTACCCCACCGACCCCAGAGACTACCCCGCCGGTCCCGGTACCGCCGCGGCGCCCGCCGACGCCACCGTCCGCTTCGCCACCGCCAGCTCCGCCGACGCCACCGCCAGCTCCGTCGACGCCAGCGCCAGCTCCGCCGACGCCACCGCCAGCCCAGCGCCGCCAGCGCCAGCTCCGACGCGGACATCTCCGACTCCAACCATTGTGGGTCAGTCGGCGCCTCGGCCAGCCCCGTCTGTACTTCAGCCAGTTCCACCGGTGCTCCAGCTGAGTTCACCTGCGGCTCCGACAGCCGCACTGGCCCCCTGGACGGCGCCGGTCCGCCGGTCGGACCAGGGCCGGCCGGCGGCAGCTCATCAGCGTGCTGCGACCACAGGGCGCTCCCGATGTCCACCTCGCAGCACACGTGTCTGGTCCAAGCGGCCACTGTCACACGCCTCTACTTCTGCGGGCCGCCGTCATTGCGGGCCCAGACCGTGCCGCCAGTCTCGAACGCTCTGGACTGACCTCCTGTGGCTGGCCACTGTTGCAGCTGCTGCTTCCTGAGGTTCTTGTCCGGATCAGGCTGAAGCAGACCCAGTCGGGTCCGGACATTCCACCCCAGCACCATCTCGCTGGTCGCCATCCCGTTGACGCGTGCGGCGCCACGCGGTATGTCGGCAGAAACGTCTGCAGTCTGCGCTACAGTGACCCGCCGTCCCGCAGCGCCGCCCTCAGTCCGTTTTCGGCCGCCTGTACGGTCCGTTCCTCGGCTCCGTTGCTGCTTGGGTGGTGCGGCGCTATTCAGACCAGTCGTATGCCATTATGGTCCACGAACTCGGCGAACTGCGCCCATGTGAACTGGGGACCGTTGCCCCATACCAGCTGCCTGGGGAAACCGCAGCGAGGGAGCATCGCGCGCCGTTCACGGATCGAGCTCTCCGTGCTCGCCTCGTGCGTCGGCAGCACCTTCAGCCACTTCGTGTAGCTGTCGTACACCACAGAGAAGCTCGAACCATGGAACGGTCACCCGACCCGCAATCCCGGGCGCGCGGACGTATCTCCGCCCGGCCCGCGGCGACCCCATCCTACCCGGTTCGGCCCCTTAAAACTGGCGCTAACACGGCGGTACTTCCTCACCTAGTTTACTTCCGGCTAATTAGTCATGGATAATTAATGCTGCGTGGGACGATGAGAGGGGTGAATACATATGGTCCAAGAGGGATGAAAGCGGAGAACAGACTGCGATCTTTCATTTGTTAGTGCCACCTGTTCCACTTACATGCTTGTGAGTACGGCCGTCGCGTGCAGAGCGCCTTCGTCCACGGAGAGCCCCCGAGTCAGATTGCCGCTTCTCGCTTGAGTCAGAGTCAGTCCTCAAATCTACTGCTTCCGCGGGATTTGTTCCACAAGCCCCCTCCCCGCAAGTTCCTGTCACGGGGTGTTTGTTCCGGTCACGGGGTGTTTGTTCCTATTGGTGCTCATTTGCAGGTCTCCTTTGCATGCGCCATTTCTTCGTTCGTTGAAGGCCCACGGTGGTGTTAGTATCTAAAATCGGTTGAGGGGCGGGGGCGCAGCCGAAAAAATGCCTAAACCTATTTGAAAATCCTGAATTCTGCCCGGATTTTTGCCACTTGAATTTGCGTTCTCAGCTTAACTTATTTTAAGTCATAAGTTCAAACGTGTTGTCCTGCGGAGCAATGACTTCCGATTTCAACTTCGCGTTGTGAGCTGCCTTTGGCAAAAAGCTTAGATAGGGTGTAATTCACAGACAAAACACATTTGTAAATCCTAGTACGTGATCAATGACTCCCTCTGTCTCTTTCCGTGTTGCATGACCACTTCTAACCAAAGCCACGACTGTGCGACGGATACACTGGCCTCTATTGGGGCACCATTTTGAATTGGCCATCCTGTACTTTTAAAAGCTGCCGCATAAGGCGGGGAATTATTTTTTTGAGGCCAGCTTAACACATGAATTAGTTGACTGCGTTAGCATGACAAAACATTAGGTACTTACAGGGTACTGTTTGTAATGTGCTTAGGCACATACCGTCCAGTATATCAGCAGTTGAGGTAACTGCTATGTTTTTATTTTGCCCAAAATTCCCCCTTTGTTTATGTGCATTTAAGGCCCTCGGAGGAGCAATAGAGGGCTCACGCAAGCATTGGGGGCTCAGTCCCCCCCCCCCCCCGAAGCATATAAAGAGATGTGCCCGGCCCAGTACCTCGGAGGGCGAGCATTTGGCATGCTCTGAGGTGATACCTGGCCCTGGATTTTGTTTTCTGTCACGGCTTTTCGCTCCGTGCTGATTGACTTGGGTTCGGGCGCGGGCTCGGGTTCGGGTTTGGGCTCGGGCTCGGGCTTGGGCTCAGAACCTGTCCGCATGGCTAGTGGTTTGTCTTATCTCGTTCTGCCCTGGTCTGCTTCTCTGACCTGCATGGGCCTTTCTTGGCCGCCTCCTGGCCAATAAATGTTGAGTCTCTGAAATGTAAATGCAAATGTAAATGTTGAATCTCAAGAAATGTAAAATCTCTGGCCCCGCTGCGGCGCGAACGTGCGCGGCGTGGGACGCTGCTCCGCTTGATGCCCCGCTCCCAGGGCTTCTTCCAGCTCCGGACATGCTTTTGGCGCTTGTACGTGAGACAGTCTCGCTGGGTGGCCTGCTGCACTCCCGCCCAAACATCTCGCTCCCAGAGGATCTTGCTTTTACTTTCGACAGGGCCCTCAGCCGCTTCTCCAGCGCGGCATGAGCGCTCAGACGCCTTGCCCGGCCTGCATATGTACTCCTGTACATAAAAAAACGCCACGAGTGGAGAAAATCTGCCGCAAAGCTTCCACCTTTCTTGCTGGGCTGCTACTTGAAGCCAGCTCGGAGATCAGAAGTCAATGATGCTTGGCGAAGTGAGCGGATTGCACAGTCAAACTTCTACTCTCCAGTGTGGAGCTCTGGTCAGATTACCAACGACCAGTGCTTTGAGTTAAACATAAAACGCGGTCTTTCTTCCTTATCACGGTCAATAATGGTGAGAAACAACAGAGTAGCGGCAAACTGGTGTCTTGTTATCAGTTCG